AAAACGAAAACCCTACATTGTGTGTCATTACAGGTAAGACCTAACTGGGAGGAGGGACTTTTAATGGGTCTTGCATTTCCTATAGAACAAATAAGATGATCTTAATGTCAGGATAAACATTACATTGTTGTGAGGGGAAGGAGGCCTGTAAGGATTTGACAGGAGATTTCAAATTAAAAATAGCTAGTTTCTGACCAGAAATAACATAAAAAGGGGAGGGGGAAAATCAAACAAATATGGATTTGCCTCAGCATGCTGTCTCCTGAGTGGGTTGTCTGTCAAGTAAGGGGGGAAAAGGTATTAAAAGCATGCTATAAAAATAAAGTTTGATTAGAGAACATGCTTCAACAATGGGCATTTCTTTAGGCTGTGAAGACACTGTCTCCAATGCCATTTTCTATTTTAGTCTTTCATTTCATAAACCTTTTTGGCTAACCTTTATCATTTTATGCAGACTTTAGTCAGTTAACCCATTATATAACTGAGCAGAACACTAGGTCAAAATATTTAGTCAAGTCAGTCATTGAGGTCTATCTTGACTTAGAATACAGATCACTTTGCTAAACTTTTTTTTCTTTCCAACCTTTAATGCATAGGGGGTAAAGTTATGCTTGTGCAGTGAGATCCTTGTAGGTCTCACCTAGCTATTAACATACTCTGTTATGAAAGAAGTTGCACTTAAACCAAAAACCAGATACAGTATAAGCAGTGTCTTACACTGAACAAATGTACAAAATCAAGGAAATTGAGTTGAGGTTGCCAAAGCAACTGTAACAGTTTCCTTTATCCAACTGTGCCTGTGCTCGGCATCATACTTGGTGTATGTAAGATCGCGCTGACCTGAGAATCTCTGCAGCCCTACATAATCAAACTCTTATGTAATATAGTAATTACGGAAAGATGCAATAAACATGTCTCGGAATGACTGACCCAGACCCAGAAGTAATTTTCTATGTTTAATGGTGGTGGTATTTTTTTAAAGTACAACTGTAGAGAACAATCACAACATAAAAGGACTCCCCGTAAATATATAGATTGCATCCCATGTGCTCCTCAACAAAGAGTGGGGGAGGGGGAAATGAGCTTTGCAGTGTGCCTATAAAGTTAACAAATCTGGACCTACAGCAGGTGCAGTTTCCAAAACGGATGACCCCTCACAGACAGTCCCCTACCAGCAGCTCCTTCTCCTTTAGATGCGGGGCCAAAATGTTTTGTATTCAGAATAGTTGTAATTATTTGCATAAACGGCAAATATATTAATTCCCCTATAATTTTCTAGTGCTATGTAAAGAGGTGTGTTATGAGAGCCGCCTCTTCCTCTCTTTTTCTGAATAGCTCTCTCATGCCCACGTTCCTACCTTAGGCAACACCTACAGTGTGTGGTTTCCAGAAGCAGTAAAGAGATTTATTTTCCCTTTCACAGTAGAGAACACCTGTCTCAGAAGTTTCACAGTGTAGTAGGGTCATTGGGCATATTCTCAAGCTCTACTGAATTACTCCTCAGAAAGGTGTTCTTCACTATACTGATGTAACTTTAGCACCCTCATGGCCAAGATGGAGTCTGCTCTGCAGGCAGCTCTGGCCAAGAGAAGGCGCATGCAGGAATGCAGCAGGAAAAATCCCTTCCACCCCAGGGGCACTGGTTCTAAACCCCCCAGAGTGAACACCCCTCCCCACCCCCAGGAAAAGTACAATGGATATAATAAGAAAGGGAAATATTTCTTTACAGAGGGATGAGAGGAGAAAAGCAACAAGGGGAAATATAGGGGGAGCAGTAAAACCAGGTTGCATCCAAACCAAGGCCCCACGGGCCCAGTGGTAGCACAGTCCGGAAGGGCAGACACTGAGCAATGTGTCTGCACACAGAGTTCAGGAGTCCTGAGCAAAGTTCCAGTCCAGTAGTGAGTCTTGGGTGCTCCTGGTCATCTTCGGCGCCAGTGAACTTTCCCCAACAAACCCCTCCGGTGCCCTCTTCTGCTGCTCTCTGCAAAGCCACACATAGCGACCACCTCCCTACTTAACTAGCTAGCAGCCTCCCTCCTTGTTCCCAATGCAGAGTCCCAAGCCCCAGTACTCACAGTCCCATACAGCTCTGGGCAGCGGTGATACTGGGTCCAGCTCTGGCCTGTCCTTCTCGGGCAATTCCTCCCTGGCACAGTGCTCCTCCTGGCTCCTGTCCTGGGGTGTCCCCGATCGGCCGCCCTGTCCTCCCCAGGCTTCAGGCAGGTTCTCTGCTGCTTCCTTTGTGAGGGCCTGCGGGCTGCTGCCACCTCTCTCTCCCACTAAGCTCCAGAGCCACACCCTGGAGTTTTCGTCCTTTTTTCTCATTCCCCACTCGGAAAAAGATTTAAAGGGGCCATGCTCTCTAAACCCCAAAGGGGTTACACTGAGTGTGAAATGAAGTTCTACTTGCTGGCCTTTCTGTTCTTGTAAACAGATTCCTATTCTATTCGTTATTAGTGGTTGTACCTAAAATCATAGAACCACAGGCTTAGAAGGGACCACAAGGGTCATCTAGTCTAACCCCCCTGGCAATATGCAGGATTTGTTGTGTCTAAACCATCCAAGACAGATGCCTATCCAGCCTCCTTTTGAAAACCTCCAGTGAAGGAGCTTCCGCAACCTCCCCGGCAGTCTTTTCCATTGTCTTACAGTTAGGAAGTTTCCCCTGAGATTTAAACTAAATCTGCTATGCTGTAGTTTGAACCCATTGCCTCTTGTCCTGCCCTCTGCGGCAAGAGAGAACAACTTTTCTCCATGTTTTTTTATGGCAGCCTTTCAAGTATTTGAAGACTGCTAGCATGTCCCCCCTTAATCTCCTCTTTTCCAAACTAAACATACCCAGTTCCTTCAGCCTTTGCTCATAGGGCTTGCATTCCATCCCTTTGATTGTCTTTGTCGCTCACCTCTGGATCATTTCCAGTTTCTCTACATCATTTCTATACATTGCTGACCAAAACTGGACACAGTACTCCAGCTGAGGTCTAACCAGTGCTGAATAGAGTGTACTATCACCTCCCGTGACTTGCATGCTATGCCTCTGTTATTGCAACCTAAAGTTCCTTTTTTTTGCATTGTTGACACATGTTGAGGTTATGATCCACCACAACTCCCAGATCCTCTCAGCAGTGCTGCTTGCCAAGCCAGTTATCACCCATTCTGTATTTGCATCTTTGTTGAATTTCATTTCGTCATCTATCGCCCAGTTCTCCAGTTTATTCAGATCCCTTTGAATTTTAGCTCTATCCGCCAAAGTGTTTCCAATCCCCCCCACCAGTTTTGTGTCATCTGCAAACCTGATCAGTATGCTCTCTATTCCTACATCCAGGTCATTAATAAAGATGTTAAATAACACCAGACCCAGAACAGATCCCTGTGGAATCCCCCTCAAGACCTCCTTCCAATCTGACATCATTCCATTTAATAGTTACTCTTTTTTTTTTGGTTGTTTAACCAATTATGTATCCATTTAATGGTAGTTGTGCAAGCCTGAATTTCTCCAGCTTACTTATCAGAATGTCATGTGGGACTGTGTCAAAACCCTTGCTAAAGTCCAGGTATATTATGTCTACTGCATTCCCCCATCCACCAAATCAGTTACTCTGTCAAAGAAGCTGGTTTGGCATGATTTATTCTTAGTAAATTCATGCTGACTACTTAGTGTACTGTTGGAGACGTGGATTCAAAACCTGATATGGGGGGGTTGTTTTCTTTATAAAAAAAAAATCATACCACGTGTAGTATCATAGTACCCTATTGTTGCTGCTTTTGTTTCACAAAATGACTACAAAATATTTTATTTACCCCATAGGGTTACTTAATAAAATCAGGGTTCCAGTGTCCTCCCTATGTGCTAAGCAACTGTCTCAATGGGACCCCAGCACAAGTCCCCTCTCTCACACATAAATATTGAAGGACTTTATGGAACAAATAAAGCCTTGCCTTGTGCCCTGAAGGTTGACAAACTCATTCTGTTGGATTAGAAGGTGCAAATTCCATAGATGCGATCCTTCAGTTTAAGACGTCCTGCCATGTGGGCATCAGCAGCAAAAGGCCCTGAGCACATCTTAACTTTCATGGTGGGGCACTAAGGATAAGGCAGTCTCTCAAATACCTGGCAAAATCCATGTTCCATTGAGTCAATGGCAAAACTTCCACAGACTTCTGTAGGTGCCAGGATTTCACCCCCAAGTTCTAGACCTTTCAAGTTAGTACAAAACTTAGTGGCTCATATAGGTGTGGTAAATGCTGTTTCCTGTAATTGGTAATGATGCTCTGTTTTTAAAATGTTGAATCTAGGCTGATTTTTATACCACTGCACTTCTTGAAATCTGTCACCGAGAGGATACTAAGGGCTGGTCTACACTGGGGGGGGGGGGGGAATTGATCCAAGATACGCAACTTCGACTTCAGCTACGCGAATATCTTGGATCGAATTACCTGGGGTCCAGACGGCGCGGGATCGACGGCCGCGGCTCCCCCGTCGACTGCGCTACCGCCGCTCGCTCTGTTGGAGTTCTGGAGTCAACAGTGAGCGCGTTCGGGGATCGATATATCGCGTCTTAACGAGACGCGATATATCGATCCCGGATAAATCGATTGCTACCCGCCGATACGGCGGGTAGTGAAGACGTACCCTAAGAGATTAACTTAATGTTTCATTTTGAGGTTAAAAACTAAGCCCAATGCTAGCCCATGTGATTTTGACATTATGCAGAGAAAACTAGTGTTTAGACATACTTACTGAAATTTGTAACAGAAACTATCAACAAATGCAGAATGTCAGGGAATATTGAAATGAATTGCAACTCAAGGACACATTCAAAGTAAGCAGTGTAGCGAAAAATAAAGCATCAATCATACGAGTTGAAAACGAGCACTTTGGCTTGCAGAATGAACATAATAAAAGCATTCCTTGGCTGGCGCTGTGTGTCGTCCTCTGCACTAATTTTGTCATTTGAAATATGTAAAGATTAGATAAATTGAATTTACTTCTGCAGAATCATTGTCAGGCCTTTCCTTACAGAAGAACATTATGTGACACACAAAGAATATTTGAGAACTGGATATGAAGAAAACGGTATCAAGAAGGGTAAATAAGATGCTAGACTCTTTGGCTATCTGACGGTAGCCAGGAGAAAAACATTTCATACAAAGAAAAGAGCAAGTGGAATTTTACTTTGGGATTTCTCCTGCAGGCCGTTCACATCAATATCTGCACAAAAGGACCTGACCAACAGCCATTTTTTAGTTCTCGGTTTTGTCAGCTATAACATTTATTCTTAATTCTCATATGTAAAATACCACAAATATGCGCAGTGTTTTACAATAGAGACTAGAAGAAAATATTCATGCCCGAAAGGGGAGTTAGTGTAGTGGACTTTACCAAGGTTGAGGGGGGAGGGGAAAAAAGAGAGAGAGCGTGCCTAAAGTTAGGCTCCTAGATCTATAGTCAGGCATATAAATACGTGGCCAGGTTTTCAAGGGGAACTGTCGGGTGCTCAGCATTTTTGAAATCTGGCCTCATATTTATATGCCTGAATATGGAATTAGGAGCCTACATTTTGGCTCTGATTTTTGAAAATCTTAGCCTATCCATCCAAGAGACCTGGCAGTAGTATGGAATAGGAAATACAACTGGCTGTGTCCAGTTATGGCACATGTAGTATGGGCTGTGACTTTACGACAGTTCTGGTCTGTTTGTTGGAACCTGGGTTGTGCCTCCTTGTGTACGTTAGGGTTGCCACCTCCGAGATTCAAATAACTGGAACATCTAGGTCAATCCTGAGCCCATAAAACTGGACAGCTGGGAGTGTATACTGAGCATCCTTGCAGATTTCCCAGGACAGCTACCTCGAAAAAGGGATGATCCTGGGAAAACCTGGATAGGTGGCAACCTCATGTGGGTTTGTTACCTCAATGTCTGGTAAAGCTCTCAATACAAAGTCAGCAACATTTATTAGAATAATCCTGTAGTTATGGCACAGGACTGGAATCGCGAGATGTCCATTAAATTTCCAGCTCTGCCACAGATTTCCTGTGTGATCTTGGGCAAGTCATTTGAACTGTGTAACAGTTCATCTTCTGCAAAATGAGTATAATAGTTGTATACCTCACAGGAATACTGAGAGGTGCTTGGATACTAATTATTACAGAGACTCTCATAAGTACCTAAACAAGTTGACAGTCTGAGTGAAGACATGAGGAGGAAGGGTGGTGAATATTGGTGTAAGGATAGAAAAGACAAGAGTTTACAGCAATAGGATTGTGCGATTGCTTAAGCTGGTAATAATGCCATTAAGAGTCATATATGATTAACTTTTTTGTGAATTAATTTTGAAGTCATCTATTCTTTTGTGTACATGATTCTGAATATGCACTAATGACTTATTTTTGCTGAAAATGTTTCAGGACTATTTTAATATACAGCAAAGCGGGGTATAATTACGTCCCCATTCATTATGTGCTGTTGGATTTACCTTCAGTTACTCAGTTCCCAAAGGTGATCATTATCATGTCATTTCCTATTTACTGACAATAGTATTTTTATATTCCTGTATGCTGATTGGAATGAATTAGTGTTGAATAGCATTCTGCTACAGTGGTGTCCAAACATTTTTCATAATGTCAACCTAATTTTCTCTGAGGCAATCTCTGTATCAACACATGCCCTCCTATTTGCCATCCTATAACATTCTTGTGCAACTATAGCAATTACTTAGAAAAGTAAAGTTAGGGGGAAGCAGAGAATATATTTTTACCTGTATTTTAAGGCATCTTAGGAGCTGGAAGTAAGGAGGAAGAGCTAAGTCCATGTGACCAACTGCCTCTCCTTTTGACTACAGTTTGTGAATCTCTGCTCTTCTCCATACTGAGTAACTCTAATGCATGTCTGACCTATGTACAATACTACAGACACTGAAGAAGTGAGGTTTTTACCCACGAAAGCTTATGCCCAAATAAATCTGTTAGTCTTTAAGGTGCCACCAGACTCCTTGTTGTTTTTGTAGATACTACAGACAATACACTAGTTATGTAATTTTCTAAAATTGTTACTATACGAATAAAAATAAATATGCAATTTCCCTATTATATCTTAGTAAAATATATCTAGTACTTAATTAGTGGAATACCCAGCATTTCAGTCTTTCGTGATTAAAAATACCAGTCCTCAATGAATGTTTCCATGCTAACACATTGCATTATGCTAAAATAAATTTGTTTGTTTTTCATTAATGTAGTGAAATGTTTGAATTTAATTCCTGAATCTTTGAAAAAAATCTGCTTTTAAAAAAAAATCTATTATGAAAACTGGTGGAGAATTTTGACTGAAATTAACATTTATTGAAAACAAAAACATTATTTTTGTTTCCCACTAAAAGTCAAGTATATACCTGATATACTCTTGATTTAATTGGTGTTAGCAACTATAAATAATAAAAGGAAAAAGGGAATTGGTATAGGGATCAGTTTTCAAAACAATTAACCTCTATACTGAGCTGTTTTACACACTTAAGGGTATGGATAATTTTCATACAAGGATATGTGTTGTCTCCACATCTAAGCCAGCATAGGTATATTGGAGCATGGTTTGATAGTGTTCCTTGTAGAAAAGAAACGGATCTGTTAGGATGATTCTTTTTGCTGCTACTGGATCTAGGCAAAACCTTATAATTCCCTGGCTCACTAACTAACTAAACTCAGTTTGTGCTGTCTGGAGTCACCAAACAAGGTCTCTGAGTTGTGGCATAGACCATGACCACTGATTGCACTACAGGTTTGACCAACAATGTACTTCATCAGAGAATGATACACAGATAGTGACTTCCAGCTGAGACCAGATTTAACACAGGTCAGGCTCATCTGGCCAAGGAGAAGGATCTCCTTGGCCCAACTAGTAGATCAGCTAATTTTGAACCTGACCTAATGCAGGAGTGTGCAGGATAACATACATACAGGGAGTGCAGCTGCCAGATGGGGGATTCAGCTAATTGGCAGTCTGCTTTAGTACCTAGCCATCACTTTAAAAGCTGCTGCCTGAAGATTAAAATGGTCTCAGGAAGTGTCAAGTCTGTCATTGCCCAAGGATGGAATTTCATTACTTAGAATTTTTTTTAAGAAGTGTTTGGGACTGGGACAGCTCATTAAAATACATTTACGAGGCCAGGACTTCCTTTGTGAAAGGCAGGGAAGCATTTCAATATTAGATAGTAGAAGCAGGGTAGATGCCCAGGTGAAAAGATAGTCCTGCAGTGCTGAATGCCTTTTTCAACCTGCATAGAGAGGCCCATTGGGAATAGACTGTCACAAGTGACCTAGCAGAGGCTGGCATGGCATCAGGACTGCCCAAGCCATGAGTTATAAACTCTAAATAAACCCCTGAAACTTATTTTCAGCCTGAAATGCCACCAAATCTATTCCCAGTGCACTTCTGCAACATGATCATTACAGCACCATTGTGAGTAGCAGTCAGCCCTGAAAAGAGTAAGAAATTCACAGGAAAATACTCCAAGGCGGTGATATCACAGCTGCCATTTTGTAGAACGTTGCTTGTGCTGTCACCAGGCACGTTATCCCCTTTCTCCTAACAACAAAAATAATCCACGTCAGCAGAGTTGTCAGTTATTGCCTTTAACTGGTCTGAAACACCCAGTCACAGATCAAGTTAGTCTTCTGCCCTTGCTGCTTCTGTGATGTCTGATACCACTCTGCATAACACTACTGGGCAAAGGGCATAGACTGTATCTTTAAATACTAAATAGGGGTAAAGCGAATTTAATGTCCCATAAAAGAGAAGTATCAGTGCAAAAGTTGACTAAGCACTACTAGTTGCTCTAGGGGTTTTTTTGGTGCCAAATACAAATTTGGCTAAGAGTGGAACATCACTGTATATCATTAGTATCTTGGAATTGGAACTGGGACGCCATACATGTGTGATACCTTTAAAAGTGAGTCAAACATGAGTGATGTGGAAGAAACATTGGTTTTAGCCTGATGATCTTAGAGAAAATATTCAGGAACAGTACATCTACCCCTGTAATGCTGAAGAGGTCAGTATGTGCATGGATTAGCTGTTTTGTAATTCCTGACTGGTGTATTAAAGCAGCCACTGCGGCGCTTTATTTCTGCATTTAAACTTCCAAACTAACGTTTATCTTGTGAATCAGGCTTGAAATTCTCTGTTCAGGATTGAGTCTGGCTTTAGGATGTTTCAGGCCTCCAGTGAAGTTATTTTTTGGGGAGGTGAGGCTGTCCCTCAGTTTCTTTACACCCTTTCTTCTCTGGAGTTGGTACCATGTATTATGATCCTAAGCTAATGAAGCAACTCATCAGTGTGCTGAGACATCCCACATACTTGGTGATGCTCTCTATCTTGAGGGTGGCCCTCTGCCCACAACTACAGGTTTTGCAGGTCCCAAAATCTTGCTCCATTCACGATGGTTAATTCCCTGTGCTCCTCATCATACCTTCTTTTAGGCTTTGTGTTCTAATCCCCATCACTATTAACACTATACTGACAGGTCAAGTTTCTTGATATAAAATAGAATATAAAACTTTTTAATTGTATAAGTATTCATTTTAGTCTTCCCAGGCCCCTGGAGACTTCTGATACACATTGGGTATGTTCAGTCACACACATCACATGTGTTAGTATTAGCACTCAAGGACACTAATTTAATTCACATATTAGCAACATGCAGCTAGATTCAAAAGAACACAGTACATTGGGTGCTGAGATCTTCTGAAAATCTATCCAGAAGTATTGTCATGGGAACTGCTGGGTGTTAGTACTTTTGAAAATCTGGCCCATAAAACTATAGAAGAGGTGTTTCAGATAACCATCTTTTTAGGTGTGGTCTTTGCTGACCACCTCTCACCCCATCAATGGCCTGTTTGCTAATGCAACTACAGTGTCTTTTCTGTAAAAGTAACAGTAGGTAGGTATTTAGGTATCCTAACTCTTTAATTTAGTGTGTTTCATCTTCTTTAAAACAATAATTTGGACTATCGCCCGTTTTGATCTTTTCATCTCTTCCCATCCATTCTCTTCCCTTTACCTGCACGTGCTTCCCTATTCCATAATCACTGGTTCCCTTTTCATGCTGCCTGTTTTTTTTTCTCTCCTGCTGCTCCTTTTGTTGGTGGGCTCTGGTCCTCCTTGTGACTCCTGGCTCCTGTACCTCTGGGACTCCTTGATCATGGATGGCACCTCCACTCATGCTGGTGGAATGGTGGCTCAGAGTACAAACTCCTGTAAAAACAGCTGTAAACAAAGGAGAGTAGTTGGCACTAAATGACATACCAGCTCATGGTTCACCAAGAGCTGGTATGTCACGTAGTGCCAACTACTCTCCTTTGTTTACAGCTGTTTTTACAGGAGTTTTTACTCTGAGCCACCATCCCACCAGCATGACTGGAGGTGTCATCCATGATCAAGTGCTCATGTATCACCAGATGTCCATGGGTCACTAGTTTAACAAATCCGTGGCCACCAAGCATAGGCGCTGAGTTTTTCTTTTCCTCAGGGGGTGCTCCACCCCTGCTCCGCCCCAAGGCCCCTCCCTTGCTCCACCTCTCTGTCCCGCTCTGCCCCCGCCCACTTGCTGCTCTCCGCCCTCCCCCAAGTCCCTCCCCCAGCCACCAAACAGCTGATAGGGGGTGCTGCCAAACAGATGTGGCTGGTGGATGCTGAGCACCCACTAGTTTTTTTTCCGGGGTGCTCCAGCCCCAGAGCACCCTAGAGTTGGCGCCTGTGCCATGAAGAACTTCATAGTTGTAACTGCTGCATATCATGGCTAGTCAGAACTTTAGATATACAGGCCACCAACCACATGAGCTAAAGGAAAATCTCTCCTAGAATGTATGATCTGTAAGAGACAGCTAAACAATTCTGATGCTAACCTTGTCATTATTCCCATCACAGAATGGATGAGTATTTTTTTGCATGTTCTTAAACACCAGTTTCATATACACATAAATCATATTAAATAGGGAGGTTATATCACATATTACTTACTGACTTCGCAATAGGCATAAAGGATTGAAGGACAAAAGGCCTCAACTTGCACAGTCAAGCTATAAATCTCACATTTTAGCAAATTAATTTTGAGGAATGTGCCTGAGAACCAGATGGCCGCATTTGTAAGACAGTGGGTTGAAAAATACCAGCTTAACCTGCTGACAGCAGTGGGCAAAATCTTGCAGTCCTTCAAAACTCTTGTTTGAAGTTTTGAGATTTTGTGTAAGGACTGAATGAGGACCTTGTGTTTGGCCCATCGAAAATAGGAGAGATTTTGTTAGATCTGAAAAGTAGTTTATTTATATTATGTCATATCTCAATGTAGGGAGCAAAATTCAGACTGGGTGATCTAAATAGCCTTCTATAGCCCTCCTTATCTATGGATCAAATCTGGAAACCCTAAAACTACTTTTGCTCTATCCTGACTCAGAATTCATTGAAGTCAGTGAGAATTAGTACTAAGTAAGGATACACTTAGCCAAATCCTGAAGTCATTAGTGTATCTATGACCACGCTTCACCGCTGCTATTATTTTTAGTACTTGGAATGGGCTGTTTATATTTTGGAAAGATTGCCATTTGTTTGCCTTAAGGTAAAGATTACCATCAGAGCAGAAATACTGAATGGCTCTTGTTTTGAATGACAGAGACTAAGATGTGTGCCGTAATCTAGATTCCAGAAGGGAGCCTGGCATGCAGATGTTTGAATACATGAGAGGTGTTTTACTTACAGTTAGATAGGAAGGACCACTTGAGGTGTAAATTTCTCTGCAACAGGTTTGACTAGCATTTCAGTGCTCCAAACAAGCACTTGTAACTGCTTTCTCTGCTTCACCCCTCAATCCTCTGGTAGCAGTTGCTGTTACAGCAAGATGAGCAGATTGCACAGGCACTGTTTTGTAGATAAGCCATCAGGAAATATTCAAGAAGCAAGGTGAAGGAGCACTTTGTGTCTAGGGGTGGAATGAAGGGTATCATTGTAGCAACAGAAGTCTGAGTACAAGTACAAGAAGGTCGAAATTACTCCCTACCTAAAGTATCCTTCATACAATGTGGCAGGTTGGATACACAAACTTTGTTTTTTGGTTGTTTTCTTTGATGGCTAATTTACATTCTATAATACTTATAATACAAGCATCTACTGTGCTTAATTTGTGCCAGGGCTTGCAAGGGCTGAGCCCCGATACCTCTAGGCTTGGCAGTTCATAGCCCCGGCACCTCTGGGCTTCCTGCGTCAGTTATGAATGTAAAAAAAATTACTTGAGCCCCGGCATCTCTATCATTACAAATTAAGCACTGACCATACAGAATGATATATAGTATATTGATCTATTGGCAAGGCTGAAATGGTAATTGTGTATGGATGTTTTTGCTTCCATGTGGCTTAAAAAAAAAAAAGCAGACCCACCCCCACACACCCCCTTCCACACACATACACATGTATAAAATGTTACTATGGATATATGAAAAGCATGATGATGGTAGAAGTATTGTGTGCTCTTCTGAACTTTTGACACAAGCTAGTTTGTAAGCTAGTTTGAGCATTTTACTCCTTAAAATGTATTTCAGTGGTCTAATAATCTGTCGTGGTGTACAGCATTTTTTAATGAAATTCTGTCTTAATACCAAAAATTAATATGGATGATTAAAACTGTTGACCATAATTACTGAGTGACATGTGATGTTCAATAAATATGGAATAAAGTAATAGATATTTTTAGATGAACTGGTAAAAGGTATGAGTACACCTCTACCCCGATATAATGCAACCCAATAGAACACAAATTTGGATATAACGCAGTAAAGCAGTGCTCGGGGGGGAGGGCTGCACACTCTGGCGGATCAGAGCAAGTTCGATATAATGCAGTTTCACCTATAAAGCGGTAAGATTTTTTTTTTGGCTCCCGAGGACAGTGTTATATAGGGGTAGAGGTGTATGTATTAGCTGTAAAACCCTATCTGTTTTTAATTACAGCTACTAATGGAGCATGTGACCTTTATTTTAGCATTATTTATTTTAGCACGATATTAATATCTCCCTCTGAGTCATCTTCATTTTGTTCACAGGATTGAAAAAGCGTACAAGGAAGGCCTTTGGAATACGGAAGAAGGAAAAGGACACTGATTCCACGTAAGTCTGCAATACAACTTCATGTATTTGTGAATGACTGAAATGTTTATACCAGGACATTGTAGAAGTGCTCTATACACTTGACATATGTTGTATACATTACTATTCAAAACTGTCAGTGCAGTATTCAACAATACATTTTAAAATATTTCCCTTAGCTAAAGGACAATGTTGGCACAAGAACAAATGGGTATAATCTGGCCATGAATAAATTTAGGCTGGAAATCCAAAAGAAGGTTTGAGGTTCCAGAACAGCCTTTCACTAGGAATAGTGGGGTAAAGCATCGTAACTTACTTGAAGGTGGACCTGGACAAATTTATGAACAAGGATTATATGGCAGGATTGCCTGCAGTAGAACGAGACTCAAGGAACCAGGGGATCCATTCTAATCCTGTGTCCTATGTTCATATTAATCTAGTAGCCAAATGAATGTGATGCTTGTTTCCATCTAATGTTGTAGGGACAATTTAGTTTCAGGCACGTTTCCCGATTGTGGCGGTGATGGTGTGCAAATTAGAGGAATATTACTGCTGTGAGTGTCTCTGTCTAAACTACCAACTTGCATGTGGTCTGCTGAGAATCCTCTTTAGATGCACCATCCATTTAAATATGCTGTCTTAACAGGTCAAGGCCAGTCCTTGGAGTAGTAAAACACTCAACTGGCTTTGTATTTATGTGCTTTCAGAAGTAGTTATGGCTCAAGGTGATGTTTCATTGCTGAGAGTAGATGATGCTCATGCATAATAGGATTACTAATTCTTAAGGGTTCTCGCTGTTAAGCTGGCTTGTTCTAAGTACTGTTTTCATTTCATGGAAAACATTCAATTTCTGCAGCCACTTAGGGGAAGTGGCATATATTTTAGTGTGCTCCTTTTCAAGTATATGATTTTGTCCTAATGCTGCAACATGCTGTAGGGTTCTTTGGTAAGGGATATACCATTATAATAAGTGTATTTTGGAAAAGTTTTAATTGAAAACATACCTTGTTCAACTAGAATCATAAATGAAAGAGCAACAGAAGAAGACTACAGAAAATGTCACCTGCTGTACAACTGAGCGTACAGCAACCTCTGGAGGAGTGATACACTTATGGAAGAAAGTGTGGGTGGGTGGGGGTAGGGAATTAAGGCTTCTCAGATGTGCTTAACTTTTGACAATGGAGAAATCCATATTATTTTGCCCAGATAAAATGTGTCACATAAGGTTGCTACCTCTGAGGTACAAAAAATAAGGAACATCTGGGATATTCCTGAGCCCATAAAATTGGACAGTTGGCCATGTATACTGAACATCCTTACAGACTTCCCAGGACAGTCACCTCAAAAAAGGGATGATCCTGGGAAAACCTGGACGGGTGGCAACACTAATACCACAGTCACATGGTTGCTAAATTATCTGATACCGATGTGACCATCACTAGAACTCGGTGAACATATCCAGCATTTCCTGGACAGATTGTGCTTTTGATTACAACATCCTCCCTCTGACTTCCACCTAGTGAGGACCATTTTAATCTGCAGTTGAGGTGCCATAGGAACCCTGTTGCTGAAATCTGCCCAGCAGATGCACTGATTCAATGCATCCCTAGCTACCCTGGCTATGTCCCCTTTTTAGCCACTGTCATCTCTTTAGGTGGTGCTGACCAGCTTCCCTTCCCTTTGATGAAAGGGAGGTTGTGGATAATTCGTATCCTGGTGTAGGCCTTTGAGCAGTCTTTCCAGAAGACAGCTTACAGAATCTAGCCGCTTGTTTGCAACAGTATTTCTATAGGTCGTTAGAGGGCTCTGTGCTGCTTCTGATTTTGCCAGTTCTCCGCTTCTGCTTGATGTTGCTGTGTCACTGAGATCCACATCGAAATGGGGCTAGTTGTAGGATTTTGCTGCCATAGGCAAAGTGGAGAATAATAAATATGTTGTTTCCAATTTACATTTTGATGCCGCAGGCAATGGCTTCTTCTGCCTTCAAAAAGAGGAGGTGAAGTTCCCGTACATCTTCATCAGTAACCTGAAAATACCTGTGCAAGCCGTTAATCCCTGGAAATCTGTGCTTCAAGCAAAGCGAAAAGGCCTGTATTTAAAAAAAAAAAAAAAAAAAAATTGGGCCATTGCATCAGCAAAATGGTAACAACTGTTATATTGCAACCTTTGCTTGTGAATGGGTTGCTTAGCAACAGATACCACAGACTCAAACCAACTACTTGAACTCTTTGACTAGGGAACAGCATGTGAGCCTCTGAGCTGTCTCAAATAACAGCTATGAGGCAGGTGAGTAGGGTGACCAGATGTCCCGACTTTATAGGGACAGTCTCGATTTTGGGGGGCTTTTTCTTATATAGGCACCTATTACCCACCACCCCCATCCTGATTTTTTACACTTGCTATCTGGTCACCCTTCAGGTGAGGCAAGTCGAGAAGAGATGGGATGAAGGCAAAGAGATGGGGAGGTAGATGGCAATAGTGAGAAGGGGAAGGGAACAGACAGATAAAACTAAAGAAATGGGGGGAAAAAAGCAAGTAGCCATGAGGTGGTAGAGGTGGGCTGGGATGGGTAGAACAGAAATAAAAGGAAAAGGCAGTGAATAAAAAGTGGATTGGAGTCAGAAATAAGACAATAATATGAAAAATGGTAGAGGGGTGGTTTAAAAACACAGAGAACCTAAAAAACAAAACAAAACCTGGAGTGATTTAGTAAGAGAACATGAGATGCATACTTAAATGCCTATTTGTCAGCCAGCCCGACTACAAAGACACCCACATAGGTCATATGTAGTTTCATTTATAATTTATCATAAAGATACAGGAAACAAAGACCATAAATATTTTTTGCTTAAAGAAAATCAATGAAACCAACATCTAGTTACTACATTGTATCTAACCAGTTGCACAACATAATTCAAGCAATTAATTTCAAATGATGTGTTTTTATAGAGGCTGTAGGAACGCTGATGAAAGAGTTAAGATAATGACTCCTGAAGAGGATGTTTTTGATAATGAGCTGGTAGGAGAGACTATATTAGGGAAAACACTTTAATTAGCAAGCTACGGAGGTGGCTTATCTTCCTGCTTTGATGGAGTGGGTGGGGTGATTTTTTTTTTTTTCCTTTTGAGGGTGCCATAGCATAGAAGTTAGTAGGATGGAAACAATGGCAACCATAAGCAGTAATTATGCTAATGTGTCCATTGTAAAACTTGGTAGTGCTAATACTTGAGCAAAAGGAGAATACTCATTAGCTTGTAGCTGCAGAACCACAAATATCTACTTCCTCGGCCTCCAACCACTAGAAAATGTGGGACTACATCTTTTGTCATTCACTACTCCCCACTTCCTCACTTCCTCTGAGTTTGTCTAACAGTCTAGCTTCTATTTCGTTATGCATGCATGAGGCCCTGCCCTCAATAGAATTCACCCCAAAATGAGATCCTACAAGTGTTCTCACGCTCTGCCTTTCCTTTCCATGGGTCGGCTGACTCCCATGCACAGAGCAGTAGGAATGTCCTACTGCCATTGTGGCAGTTATTGGAATTTTTTTTAAAACATGCTTGTCGTAAGTGTAATGAGTGCTTTTTGGCTCACAGTGCAGAGACAGCATAGCATGAGAGTGGAAGACACACTTATTTGTCAGTCTCTTTGTAACGAGGCTGGCACCCACCTTTCGCGAGTGCCCCCTTCTGATTGGGCGTGTCTATGTTCTTTTGGTCTGGAGACCCCTTTCAGTGGTTCTCAGGTGGGTTTTCATTGACTCAGCCCTCCGGCCGAGTCATACTGTCTGCACATTAGCCAGCACAAACTCCTTCTTCGGTATATAGTCCACAGGGGCCTATCTCAGTACCCCTCTGGTGGTTTCTCTCTCTAGCCCTCCTTGGGCTTTAGTATTTAAGTAGTCCAGTCCTGATATGGGGCAGTATCCCCAGGGTTCCTCCCTGGAGACACTATCTTTCTGTAGCCCTCCCCAGGCTCAGTCCTTACTCAGTCCCTAGCAGCCAGACAGGAGCCTCTTGGTCCCCCTGTCCCTGCCAGCAGACTTAGCTGTCTGTAGTCCTGCTGCTCTTCCAGGCAGCCAGGCCTGCAGTCCATTCTTCTCCTGCTCCATGCAGCAACTAACTACTGCTCTGTTCTGCAGCTCCTTTTATATGGCCCTCCTGGGCCCTGATTGGCTGCTTCCCCTGCAGCCACTCTAGCCTGCTTGGAGGACCTCTCCACTGGGATGGGTGTGGCAGAACCCTGAGGCCTCCAGCAAGGGGCCTTTGGGCCTGGTCCACCCCATCACACTCATGCAGTTCTAGACACTAGGGTACATTCTCTACTTCTACTCGTGCATTGGCAACTGTTATAGAAAAACATAACCCTTTGACAGAAAATTTAGGGCAAGGAGAAGGGCTCTCTATAGAGTCAGTAACAGGCCTCCTGTACTTAGTCCTTAATAGTAAGTATATGACTGTCATATTTGAAGACCCAAAATCAATCTAGGTAGCTAGGGTCTTACATTGATGCCCATCACCATAGTGTCTGAGCTCCTGAGTAAAAAATTACAACAATGAGCGAGTCAGTAGTGAGATCAAGTATTCCTTATAGACATTAACAGGTTGAGTCTCTCCAGCTGAAGAGGCTCTGAAGATTCTAATTATGTCTGTAACTGCTTTGAAAACATATCACCCATGGGCTTGAGGTATGAACAACTCAAGCAAAGTCAGTGAAAACTTGGATGAAGATGCCAACTCAAAATAGGCAACTTTAGTATTAACTAAGTTCAACAGTGCTTTAGTAATCCAATTTGCTTGATCATGCTAGTTTTTTTCTGTAATTATAATCAAGGATTAATAGAATGAAATGTATATTTATAGCTAGATTTATTATAAAAGAATCTTGTTAACATTTCATAAATCTGACTGTGGATTGCGAAGGGATAATTAGCTCAGTCTGCAAGAGCACAGGTAACAGTGAACCGGGGACAAAGAGCAGGTGGCTTGACCTTGGCTGCATATGCTCAAATAAGGAGGAAAGTGGAGATGACAATCAACTCCAAAGTTTCCAAAAGGGAATGAAGCCATAAAAAGGGACAAACTCAATAAAGTAGAGGTGTGGAGAGGAGAGGAAACTGAACTGATTGCAATATTTTAAGCTGAGGACAGAAGGGAGACAGGAATCTATTGGCTGTATTGACACTGAATGCTGCTGTTAGTGTAGCCTATTATTTTATTTAAAGTGAATTTTGTAATGTGGTAGTGGGTTCGGCTCTGGCAGCTACAGTTTCAAGCTTAACAGAGTGAAAGTCACCTCTGCTACTTGCTTCAGAGTTAGTCTCTCTAGTAGTGACCACACAGACATTCACAAGTACAAGGTCTAGACTGTTTTACAAGTTTTATTAAAGTTATGATCATCCAAACATATAGAAGTTCTATACAGACCTATGCACAAGTTACAAATATAGTTATACACACATCCTTAACAACAGTGTTAAGATCTGATGGGTCTCTCATGGCTTGATCATCAGTAGAGGGATGGTTCCTGCTGGAGTCTCTCAGAGGGAGCTCAATTTTCCAGTTCTGGGCATCCCCTTTTTATAATGTGATTCTGTCTATACCTACATTCTGCACATGTCCATAAAAGTGCCAACCCTCTTTTCTCTTATTGGTTTGTGTCCCCTGGAAACTTAAGGGACCCCAGTTTTCTATAGACTGTGTAAGTTCCCTTTATTCTCATTAGCATTGACACACAACCTGTATTCTGTGGATAAGACACATGCAGAGACAGATGCGCCTTTACAGTATTTTTATGATCTAATATTAATCTTTTGGGTAATTGTTTGCAATTTTACCAGTTGGTACCTCTTTTCCCATAATCCTAGAGCATCGGGTTATTTCCTGGTCACTTAAATAGCTAAGCTAAAATCTTGCAGGCCTCAACCTACAGGTTTTTGCATTTCAGCTTGTCTTACTCATGTCTAATACTTGGTTCCTCTAAATACTGATTAATCTTATACTTTTATAATCCTTCAAATTAACTCTAATTAACATACAATAAATATATGTAATATAACACATTAATCATAACATCACACAATAAATAAATAATAAACTAAAATAATTGGCTACATTAGGTACGAAGAGATGTAATTTGGAAGAACATACAGGAATTGTCCATTGGAAGAAGCTGCAGCAACAGCACTGATTCTTTTACCATAGCCACATCCCAAGAAGACCTATGGGCATGTCAGCAATCAGACACGATGCATCTGTCACAGTTTCAGGATAATTGCATTTGAGTTTTTCCCCTCCATGGTCCCTGAATGGCACCTACTTACAGATTTCCAGCTCCCAGCCATCACCTCTGTTGGGGGCAGACCCAGGCCTCACTCCCTCCTCACCAGGGGTTTTAAGGCTACACAGCTCCCTGGACTGCACTAAACAGAACGGTCCCTGTGCTTTGCTTTCTCTGAAGGCTAGACCGGCCTGTTGCCTGCAGTTGTAGGTTACCACACAGTTCCTTCTAAGCAAGCACATTTATTTTTAAGGTAAAAACATTACAGAGAAAATACATTAAAAGAACCTACATGCCTGCTTTAAAAGCTTAGCAGAGGTCACCCCAACTTCTTGTAGTTTTCAGTCCTTCAAAAACCACCATTGGATTTCCCCCCATAATTACAAGTTCACATCTGTCTTAGATCCAGAACCAGAACAAAGGCTGGGAAGAGCAGCCATTTCTTTATACAGATTAGGCTTATCGGGTTATCAGCAGACTAAGAGCCTCTCCTCAGAGCATAGCTTCAACAGGCTGGGTTTTTGCATAACCCATAGTTAGGTAATTTTCATTAACCTCTCCCAGGGATTCCCCAGGAAATCCACTTAACATTTATTGTCCCAAAAGTCTATATTTGTCTGGCACATTTTCAGTGTAGTCTTTTGAACTCCCAGTTTTTTCATTGGTCTCGTCTCTTCCCACCTCTCCCCCTTCCCTCCGCCCCCCCCCCCCCCGAGAGGTTACATACAATCGTGACCCACAATTAAATTTGTTTTATACAATAAGGGTTTTCAAGGATACTGCAGGAAATTGTCATATCTGTCTCAGCATCCAACAAAGGTACTGATGCATAGTGAGCTTACATAGAGGTCCAGAATCAATATTAATGGGACAAGTTAATTCCTGGAGAACAGGAATTCTGAAATAGCACAGATGTAATCCAGAGGAATTTGCAAAGTCTCCACATTCAAAAGTTTTAAGCTAAAGCAGAGAACGCATCTGGATTCAGATGGTCGCAGAGCCAGGAATCCAATGGGGTGCCTTTGAAGCCATCAGGTCAGCGATCTTTGGAAACCAGCACAGATCAAGAGAGCATATGAAAAGCCTACAGGAGATGGGAACATTTGCTTGAGTGAGTGAAGGGAAATGGAATTAGAAGGAATTCTGAGACCAGGAAAAAACTCTAAAGTTACTTAATTAGTTGATAAAATAAGCTACTTGTCTGATATTGATGTGCACAGTGTTCATCATCCTGAGCTAATTTGAAAGTCACATTTGTTTTAATTGTAAGCAGGGACTCATCATCAAATGTGTGTGTTTCTAGTGAAGTCCTGCAGGGATTGGTTCTTGGCCCTACACTATTTAACATTTTTATCAATGACATGGAAGAAAACCAAAAATCATGACTGATAAAGTTTGCAGTTGACACAGAAGTTGGAATGGTAAATAATGAAGAGGACAGGTCACCGATACAGACAGATCTGGATTGTTTGGTAACCTGGGCACAAGCACACAATATGCAGTCCACTAATACCTCTGAAGGAGGAAGAATTGAGCCATCTCTGCAGGGATTCAAACATGCAGTTCTAGGGAGTCTAAATATTCCCTACCCAAAACCAAAATCACTAAGCTTAAGGAACACATGTGGAATATGGAATCTTATATTACATCTGCTGCTTTAGAAGAATATTTTGGGAACCTCGTGTAATGAGTAAGATTTAAATATTAAATCAGAGAATAAGAAAAGGCAAATACACAATAATTATCGAGTGGTTCAATGAAGGACATTGGTGCGTTTAATTATACTTGAGTTGGCAGTAGCTGCCTGTAGATTTTCTACAATGTCATAAGTCTTGACCATCAGTCTTTGGAATATCTATAGCACTGGATGAGACTGAAGGATGTGGCGGGTATGGGAGAGGGAAGAGTGGGGGCTGGATTTAATAATTACTTATCTTTTCACTCAACACTTGACCATATTTATATGATGCTAAATAAACATGACTGCCATATCTGTAGCTGTTCCATGTTTGCTATAGCTTAAGGCCCAGTTCTGCAAACGCTACTAAGCACAGTCCTTAATACGATAACTAGTCCTGCTGACTTCAGTGCAATTACTACTCTCAGAAGAAAGGACAATGTTCAGTAGAAAGTATTTGCCAGATTTGGCCCTAAATTGTCACTGTATATCTATTTCTACTGTGTTTTCTAAAAGAACGTACAACATGTCTCTAGGAAGGTTTGGGAGAAAGGAATATCAGAATGTGAATGTAAAGAACAAACATTGAAAACAGAAGTCCACATTCCTCCATAAGAAGGGTACGGTGTACAAATCCCATGAAAGAGATATTAAGACCTATGAAAATGTTGTTACCACAGCAGTCCTATGGTTCTTATCAATTGGAAGGTGGGTGACAGTAGTTGACCATAAAAACCACAGCTCATGTGAATTAGCCGAGAAAATTGTTTCCAAAGGTTAAACAGCAAAGGCTGCATTAGTCTGTTTTTTGACTAATATGTATTTTCTCTTTGTTGCAGAGGATCACCAGACAGGGATGGAATTGTAAGTACTGAACTCTTCTTATAAAATTATTTTTAATAGCATTCAGTCTGTGTCTGTCTAAAAGCATTGTTCTCTGCAAATCAGCATAAGGAAGTCTTACACTTTCTCTCTATTTCCATTTAATGTAGTAAAGACATTAAAAATTCTCTTTACGAGATAGCTGTTTGTTTAAATCAGAGGAATTCAGTCTGGGAAGATTATTTGTCAAAAATAAGCAGCCAGGATGGCTGCAGTGCCAAAATCATCTCTGTTGTACATACAGCCACTTTATAAATCCTGTATAAAAATAGTTCAAAGGTAATGTTAAATAAAATCAAGCATTTGAAAGCTGCTTTTTTATTATGAATGTTTACTTTTTATGGAAAAATGTTGTACAGCATTTTCTGCACAATGGATTAATAATCTGAAAGGTTATTAAGAGAAATGTGACAAATTTGACTATTTTCTGTGCAATTTTTATTTTCTATATTAAATTGAAAATAGGAGAGTTGTTACTTCAAAATTATGGCTGCTTTAACTTATGGTTTTAGGAATGAATGTCCCTACTAAAACTGGACTTTAGAGGGGTTTTGATTCCTAAATTTCAAGTTTGCAAAGAAGTATGTTGGGTTCAGACATCAATTTTACTGTAAGTTGTTTTTTTAAAAGAGATTTTGTACTCGGATTTAAAAAGCTCATGCCTAAAATAAAAATCAGGAACATATTCAGAAGGAAAACTGGTGCAACTGGGAAACTGTTTGAAGTTGCTCTGCATCATACTCAGAGCTCTGGAGTGGAAACTAAACCAGTCCTTAAAAATAAAATGTGTCTCCCGTAAAATCACACACAAATTGGATGGCCTAATCACCGCTTTAAGAGGCACAAGTCTTTTGGCATCTGACCCAAGATCCTTAGCTTGGTGATAACCCTGCACTCATAGAGCCCCTTGTCATTAATTGTTAAGAAATGTCAAGAAATGAAGTTCAGAATACTAAACGTTGGGTAACACTTTAATCAAGGCTCTATTCATCAGAAAGAAAGGAAAAAAATGTAGCTTTCCAGATTACATGAAACTGTGGAATGTACAAATCTGTCTTCCCTGGTCTTCAACCTCTGTTTCTCCTCTTCTGCTCCTTTTCTTTTCCTTTTCTTTCTGCCCTTGGACTCTGGCCCCCCTTTTATTCCCTTTGGCGGCGGCACTCCGGACCCCTCTCCCCTCTTTTTTTTTTTTTTTTGTTTGGGGTGGCAAAAAACCTGGAGCAGGCCCTGCCTCCTGTCTTCTGCTGCTCTCACTGTTTCTTCTCTCTTTTCTATGTCAGCTGCAGTCAGGGATTTGCCTTATCTCTTCTCCATATGCAGTACTCCTCATGTTTCAAATGCAGTGCAACTTTCCTTTTCTCCCTCTGCAATTTCTGAGGCCTCCTGTAAATGTGACATACTTACCCAGAGATAGTGATGTGTGGGGGAATTCTGTTCATCTTTGTGTCACGTATACAGACATAACCACACTGCGCTTCTTGAAGCAAGAAAAAAGTGTAAGGTGGATGCCCCCTATATAGGGAGTCTAAGAATGAAGAGTTAAGTTAATACAGGGGTGGCCAACCTGTGGCTCCGGAGCCACATGCAGCTCTTCAGAAGTTAATATGCGGCTCCTTGTATAGGCACCAAATCCGGGGCTGGAGCTACAGGCGCCAACTTTCCAATGTGCAGGAGGGTGCTCACTGCCCAACTCCTGACTCTGCCCCCATTCCACCCCTTCCCCTGAGCCTGCTATGCCCTCTCTCCTCCCCCGCCCCCTCCGAGCCTCCTGCACACCACGAAACAGCTGATCGGGAGGTGCGGGGAGGGCTGGGGAGGTGCTGATCAGTGGGGCTGCTGGTGGATGGGAGGCACTGGGAACAGGGGGGAGCTGATGGCGGCTGCCGATGTATTACTGTGGCTCTTTGGCAATGTACATTGGTAAATTCTGGCTCCTTCTCAGGTTCAGGTTGGCCACCCCTGACTTAATAGATTGAAAGACCTTCTGAAACCAATGGCAAAACTACTATTGATTTCAGTGATAGCAGGATCGGGTGCCAAAGTTGTGGGTAGCCACATCATGGCTTTTTTTGTTGTTGATGCTAAAGAGTAGCAGAAGTAGCAATTGTTGTTGTTTAGATCTAGTATTACAGGCACTCTTCAATAGCAAACGGTTAGCAGTTTTATCGTCCGTGATAACAAGTCATTGAGCTAAAATGGGCAGCCCCATGCCCCGACCTGCTCAGCCTACCCAGTGCTCCTGCCGGAGAGCAGGAGAAGCCTGCGACCCCGCTCCCCAGCAGGAGTGTCGGGCTGAGGGGCGGGGCAGGGCAAACCCCCACACCCTGACCCCATTTCCCCGGCAAGAGTGCTTGGGGGGGGGGAAACCGGGGGGACTGCAAGCAAAAGGGGTGAGGAGGGGCCCCCCACTTGCTCTGGCCCAGGGCCCCACAAATCCCTAATTGGGCTAAAAGTTATGAGTGAGGTCCTTCTTCTCCCTCTTTCCCTGCCCCCAGCCATTTTACATGAGCTCTCTGATAAGCAGCCTCTGAACACTCCTAGTGGATTGGGTCCTGCAAGTGAGTTAGGCAAAGGAACACCTATCTTCCCCTGGTTTGTGTATCACATTGAGAGTATGTGTGCAGAGAGTACATGTGCAGGTGCAGAGGCAGAAACATAGGCACCTAGTAGGGCTGCCAACTTTCTAATTGCAGAAAACCCCGCCCCCTACCCTGAGGCTCTGCCCCTTCCCCTCAGCCCTCCCCCACTCACTCCATCCCCCCTCCCTCCGTCACTCACTCTCCCCCACCTTCGCTCACTCGCTCATTTTCACGGGGCTGGGGCAGAGGTGGGGGGGCGGGCTCCAGGGTGGGGCTGGGGATGAGGGGTTTGGGGTGTAGGAGGAAGCTCCGGACTGGGGCAGAGGGGTTTGGAGTGTGTGTGGGGGGTGAGGGCTGTGGCTGGGGTGCAGGCTCTGGGGTGGGGCCAGGGATGAGGGATATTTGGAGTGTGGGAGGGGGTGCGGGCTCTGGGAGGGAGTTTGGGTGTGGCCGGGGGCCCAGGGCTGGGGCAGGGGGTTTGGGGTCTGGGAGGAGGGAATGGTGCGTGCTCCGGGTGGCATTTACCTCAGGCGGCTCCTGGGAAGCAACCAGCATGTCCCTTCAGCTCCTAGTGGGAGAGGTGGCCACAGGGGCTGTGCAGTTCCTGGCCAATGAGAGCTGCGGAGCCGGTGCTTGGGGCAGGGGCAGCATGCATAGCCCCCGTGGCCACTCCCTTAGCAGAAGGGACATATTGCTGCTTCCCGGGAGTTGCGTGGATCCAGGTAGGGAGCCTGCCTGCGCCACCAACCAGACTTTTAATGGCCCGGTCAGCAGTGCTAACCGGAGCCAACAAGGTCTCTTTTTGACTGAGTGTTCCAGTCGAAAATCAGACACGTGGCAACCCTAGTGCCTAGGGAAACTTTTACTGCGAAAACTTAAGCACCAAACAAGTTTAGGAGGCTTCAGGGTTTGACAGAAGCTGAGTGGGGGTGTCGTGAATCCCAGTGAGACCTGATGCTGCAACTTAGACGCCTAAAGTGGCAGTTATTCTCATAAGTCCTGTTGTGAATCTAACCCTTTGTGTAACCTTCTTCAGTATGCTGTCTTCACGGTATGGTCTTGAAATCCCAAACTACAGAATCCCAGCCATTCTGACTGTATCCGTTGTTGACATGCGCTGATCTTTTTTTATAGAGCAGAAGTTCTCGAGTTGTGGTCCGTGGACAGTTGGTGGCCAGATGGTGCTGACATCTCCTTCCCCATTTCCAGCTGCTAACATGCATTAATAGACAGACAAAATGTAGTAAATCCCTTCCTAATATTACCTTTCCATGCAAGCAACTGCTGTAGTTGCCACAGGAGTGAAATGGTGATTGTGAATGGGAGGGAAGGGGGTCTGTGGATCAAGTAGAGCGGAGGTGTCCGTGAGACAGTCAAGAAGGGATGTTTATTAAGAAGGAGTACACGTTACGAAAAGTGTGAGAGCTTCTGATACGCTACCTGATTCTTCCTGCCCGTTTTACAGATTCAGGGCCTAATCCTGTGGGATCAGGCCCTTTAAGTGCTTGCTGAACCAGGAATAGGATCTGATGCGTCCTTGAGATACAAAATACCATAAAGCCTCTGTAGCCCAATATCCATCAAGCCTATTGTCTGGTGAATAGAGCCCTGGTATGAGTCCCAATGTTTCCTTTACATTTAAAAGAACCAAATTTGGCCAACCTTCTTTTTTTTAAACTGTATAGTATGTTTGCTAACTCCATGTCATTCTTTGTGTGTTTAAAACCCTCCCAATACTTTAACACTTTTTCTACAAAAACAAAATCCATTCCAGCTTCCCAGCCCTCATCCTCATGAGCCACCCTTCAATAACAAACCAGAGTGTGCACGTGAAGGAGGAAAAAAAATTTCGGTAAGGAAACAGATTTCAGTTTAAAGCGTCCAAAGGGTAATAAAAACAGTGAGTAAAAAAATGTTTTAAAAATTGTTGAACACATTAGGAAAACTAGCTTTCAGACTTCTGATATGTTAGCTATAAATACAAATTTATTACTAAAAATGTAAAGATTAACAACTACGCAGAGCACATTCAAAGCTCAGTTTTTTCTCAGCCTCTAAAATAAGGTACTCAGTTCTGCATTTAGGTGCTTTGATACTACAGTGATGAGCATGATATAAAAACAGAAAGACTTAGGGCTTGTCTACATGAGCAGTTTGCACCAAGCTGGGGTGTGACTCTACCCCACACTGGCCTGCCATAGACTAACTATCTGCACGGACCCTCTGGACACGTTAATCGTTCGTTAATGTGCTTTGATTAGTCCTGTTTCAAAGAGGGTTAGCTCAAAAGGCATTAGAGAACTGTTAATGTGCATCAGCAGGGTCCACACAGACAGCTGGTTTGCAGGAGGCTACATCAGGGTAGCGTCACACACCAGCTTGCTGCGAACTAAATGTTCATATAGACAAGCCCCTAGGTGCTTTGTGGCCTGATCCAACTAAAATCAATAGGAGTCTCTCCACTGATTTGAGTGGAGGTTGGATTGGCCTTTAAATTTGGGCATTTGAGTGTCCTCGTGCTACTGTTAACCCAGTTCCATTCTGGGTGCTGTCTAATTTAGCTCCTGAGTTTGAAAACTGGGCCTATATTAAGTATCTAAATTAGAGGATTGTTTAAACATATTTAGTGCCTTAAGTGTGGCCTGACATGTTTAGCTTGCATAAGTGTGCTTAGTTTGACATCTCTCCGACTGGTAAACAGCTTGTTGATTTGAAAAGAGATTGGTTTGCTGCACATACAGTACATTTTAATTGTAGAGACTTCTTTGGCATTTTTTTATTGTGTGGTGAAGAGACAGTTGACTTTGCTTTAAGATGAACCTAACCATAGTGACATCAGAAATGCAGCGCAATTCCTGTCTGAACATTATAGTGGTCTTCATCTGCGCCACTCTGTGGAAAGGTGCATTAGGGTTTCTTTTATAAACTCCTTTGGGTAAATGTTTTATAACTTTGCAGTTAAAATTTACATTGAGAGTACAAGTTCTCAAGCTAAGGCCAGAACTCTGCCCAGCTATCAGTTTTTGTTTTTGCTAATTAACGGATATTGACAAGGGAACCATTTTTGCCCTGGGTGGGGTTTGTGGGGGTGTGTGTGGTAAATAATAGCAGAGTTTGACCCTAGATCAATCTGAGCCTCTTTAGACTTCCAGCACACACCTCAGGTGGAAAATTAGTCACTTTTGCTGCACCATTTAGCACCATTTTTGCAATGAATACAGTTTACTGCCTATAAGAAAGCAACATTAGTTTCTGCAGAAACCAATAATACCTGTTAGCATATCATGATTTTTTTTCCAGAAAAGACTAAAGCAGTGGATGATGACTAAGCAAGGAGGCTCATTATATTAATGAAACATTACTTTTGACAAGGCTTTCTACATGTACACATGTGTATATGTAACCCCACAACTACCACTGTTGCAATCTGAAGAAAGCTATGTATACTCAATAAGAGAAGATGTTGTGGATATCTGTACAATACTTGGTGGTCATGAACCTATAGCACTATAAATGTGCTGAAGTGTCACAGCACAATGAATTAATAATTTTGCTTCCCTTCCTCACAGGAGTGTTGTGGATTTCAATTAATGGTTGTTTATAAAGTGCACTGAAACAGACATGTGGAAGATTCTACAGAAATGCAAACTACCATTTATTTGCTGGGCTGTGGATTTTGAACTGCCCTATTTGTTACAAAAAATCAGTCTTTTACATTATTTTAAAAATTTTATCGTTTGTATGAAATAGCTATTTGTTATATAGGGATATCACAATCATCTAACTGTACTGACCAGTTTCTTTAGAGGGTTGCTAGTCTGGCCATTCTGTGACAGATTTCAGTAGTTTGCTCCAGATAGACATTGTGTGATTCTTAGCTCTTGAATTTAAAAATTGTAAAATTGTTCTCAAATGTATTACAGAAGAAAAGTAATGGAGCTCCAAATGGATTTTATGCAGAGATTGACTGGGAAAGATATGTAAGTATCTGGATGATCTCCTCCCCCCATTTAATAGATGTCAGTGCTATGTGATGAGGAATTCATATACCTTCATATGCTGCAGGATTATCTCACTTTGGTAGACAACTGTTTTCACTGATCCAAGTGTGTTTGCTTCATATGCAGCATCCTCATCTTCATTTCATTCTCTACACTTCAGAATGAAGATCACATCCTGGAGTATTCATAACTCCAGCCTGGTTCAAATGTTACCACGTATTTCAGACAAAGACTCAGTTTTCCTTTCCACATTGTTATGTGGAAATGACTATTACTAGAGCAAGCGGGGGGGACTGTCACGAGGCACACTTCCCTCAGAAAATTTTTGCCTGTTGTTACGAGTTACACCTAAGATTACTGGAACTTGGAGTGATTCATGAAAACTATATTATCTCCAGGTTTTTTTTTTTTTTGTTTGACGTGAATTTGACAGTGTTTCATGTGCAGTTGATTTAACTATAGGTAGTTTCCCCTGTTGTTCATGTATCCTGCAGCAACAGGGGAGAGAGAAAAACCTGCAATAAAAAGAGGAAAATGTAATTGTAAAACCACAAAAATTGATATGAGGGAACTAACCCGTTTTTTCATGCTGAGTGTGCCTCTTTAAGTGATGGAGTGAAACTTACTGTTGAACTACATCACTGTGGAGAAAAAAATGAATTCAGCTATTTTATCACCCTACAAATGTGTAGTTGAAACCTAACCTTATTCTGAAATATATTTTATATCCGGATGTTAATTAGATTGTGTAAAATTATCCAGAGACTGGGTAGCTCAAATTACCCATTAAGTACCAATTACCCTGAGTAATAAGGAAAGGTCTATTTGAGACCGATTATACCATCAATATGGAATATGTCAAAGTTAATTGGGGGGGAAAAATACATTTCAATTGAACATTGAGGACGTTTACCTGCAAAGAAGCGAACAGTTCAAAACTGTTAAATGCAGCACTAATAACTTCTGCCTTAACTGCCTACAGGTCTGATTCTATAGCCTATTCTACAGGCTCAAAGGCCTGCAAGGTCGAATGCTATTCTGGAATGTGTGGGCTCTAGAGTAGAAGTCCTTCCCTAGAACAATTGTGTTTCTATACTATATGGCTTCTTATTTTTGGTGTCTGCCTTCCATTGTTTCCATCCCTCTTCCCAGCACTTTTTACCTGCCTAATTCTGTGGACCATAGTTGCAGTAGTTTCTGCAGCAACCCAACCGAGACTGTTAAAATCCTGTGCAATTCCTACAATCCTGCCTTTCTTTTCTCTCCAAACCCTTACACTTGCCAGGTCAGCTCTGTGCAGTGGACTTGATTGACACTGCCAGAGTTAACAGCAATATCATTTACCTTGGCATGGTAGGGTAGTTTATAGATATTAGCAAGCGCAGCTCCAGCCATGTTAAGCCTCCTATAAACAAAGCCTTCCCTTCAGCTTGTGGTATTTTTTTCTAATTTTGGGTAAAGCTCACTTAATCAGCCCAGTGTTTCCTTTGACATATCCTCCCGACAGAAGAAATAGCTTAAGCTGCTCTTTAATAAAATGTTTAACAAGAACTTAATTACTTTGCTTATACCCCACCCAGAATTCACCTGAGCTTGATGAAGAGGGATACAGCATCAGACCAGAAGAACCAGGCTATATCCTTTATTGTTAGCCTTACATCTTGGTTTGCAAACTGTAATATGATCATGGGTTCATGGAGTGGTCACTGAAATTTTTCTGTACACTATTATTCCTCAGCTAAAAGTGAAGCCCAGTGGAAAATCACCTGATACAGTTAACCAGAAGGCACTTCTAATTGCCTTGTTTTATTCATAAGAAATTAACAGAAAGGAGTAAGTGGATAGGAAGTGCACTGGGAAATAATTATGTTCAGTGCATGCCACTAAAACAGATCTGATTATAATGCTTACAGTGAATAGAAGCAGATTTCTAGCCCTTTTCTCTGGGTTGGCAGAAACTAGAAGGGTTGCAGAAGCAGTGTGTTCATTCATTGGAGGAAAGAAGCAGTTTACATCTCTCTGCAGAACGCCTTTGGCCTTGTAAGAAAGGAATTAAGACTAGAGGAGCTGAGCAAATGTTACATTTATGAGTCTTGAAAAGTAAGAATCATCATCTAATGGTCAGAACCCAGATCTCTAGATTCTCAAGCCTATTTTCAGCTCTGCCATAGATTCACTTGGGCAAGTCACCTAACTATACTTTAGTTTCTCCATCTATAAAATGGGGGTGCTACTACTTTCCTTCTCAACGAACTAGTGACACTAGGGAGTGTTTATAAATCATGCTGTGATTCTCTGATGGAAGTTAATATAGACATGTGCAAAGTATTGTATTTAGTCTCCAGCTTGTTTATGCTGATCTAATAGCTGTTTAGTTGTTGACACTCTTCCTTTCATCCATTTAAATGGACGTAAGCAGGAGCAAGAGGAGACATCTTGTTTTTCTAAAAGCAAATCTAAGCACAAATGAATTTCCCTTTTAAAAATCACCATTCATTTACATTGACGTGTAAGAGGCTGTGAAAGTGTAGATACATATTTTATTTAAAATACATGTGTCTAGGGTGTGACAGGCACCATAGAAAACCCTTAAGATAGCTATACGTTTTATTTACTTGGTACAGAGGAGCCATAACATTTTAGATATTCTCAAAATGTAGAACAATATATACACACTGGCCCATCTCCTCCACTGTGACACACAGAGCACAGGTATGAGGTGTGCATATGAAGGAGGCTTAAAGCTCACATGTGCTCTCCCTTCATCCTCCTCCTGCTGGCCAGGACCTCTGCATTTTGTTTGAACAGGCTGAAGAATTCTCTCTTATCCCAGGATGCAACACACAGCTGAGGCTTGGCACAGTGAAGGGATATTGTGGCTATATCCCCTTTCCTCCAACCATATCCACGTTGCAGGGAAAGTTAGTGGCATAAGATTTGGTGCTACTACACCCTTTACATGGCAGGTGATCTCCCTTACAGGCTTTGCTCACTTTACAGGTAGTCTGTGTCAATGGTGCGATACAAAGCAGCCACACTGCATACAAGAATCTGGCCTGTGCCCTGAGCTGCCTTTAGTAAGTAGACCGTGGGAAAATAGACGCATAACTTCCTCCTCTGCTGCCACTGAAACTTCCTGGTTACGTATTAATGTACAGAGTGTAAACTGGTACAGTGCTGACTGGTGGGAAAAGACTACTCGTAAATTAATGCTATCCCACAGTGCAGTTTTACCTACTTTTACGAGCAGTCAGCAATTTACATCCGTGTGTGTGTGTGTGTGTGTGTATCTGTTATATACAAATATGACAAAATGGAATAGTGGTGACAGAATTAGCAAAAATGTGTATCCTTTGTTACCCATTCTTGCTGGTGTACAGTTGGAGTAAAATGTTCAAAAACATCTAAATCCCATTTTCCAAAGTGACTTAGGACCCTAAATCTTATTGGAAAATAAGAGGGATTTAGGCTTCTTAAGCACCTATGTCACTTTAGACAGTGCCTAAGGCACTTTTTGAAAACTTGACTTTAGGAGTTTGAAAAGATGGGGATGGGGGTACTCTTTTGCCTCCACTCTGTATGAAAAGCCTACCTCTTAGCAGAACAAAAAATTCTTTAACTGTGATCTACCTACCAAAGGAAAGCACTTTTATTCCTCAAGTGAATCAGAAGAAGAAGAGGAGTCACACAAGAAATTTAACATTAAGATTAAGCCTTTGCAGGCTAAAGACATTCTTAAGAGTGCAGCAACTGTAGATGAATTGAAAGCATCAATAGGCAACATCGCACTTTCTCCATCTCCAGTGGTGAGTGCCTTGTGTTTTAATCTTTTACAGAGTTGGGAGAACAATAACATCCTATCCTGGTTAACTGTATTAGTAGTCAGCAAGTCTGTTAATTGAGCGTCAAACTGATTCATAGTTAAATACAATTTTTTTGCACTTTGTCTAGTTTAGACACTATTTCTTAGTTTAGTCACCCAGCAGCCATGAATAGCTCTGGGAGATTCAGTGTCATGCTTTTTAATAGATATTTTTAGTTCAGAATGTGCTAAAATATTATAAAGTTTCCTGAATGTGTCAAAATACTATGAAGAGTCTCCTTATAACAACTTCTCTATGTACTCTTTTATTTTAGTGAGTTTCACACATCTCCAAATGACCAAAACCCAACATGTATACTTTTTTCTTATTTTATTATTTAAAAAAATTAGTCTTTGCTATTACAGTAGAATCTGGACAATCCAAACTCCAGTTATCTGAAACTCCCCATTATCCAAAACAGGGTCATGCTCCCCTCATATCTGTTAATTGCGTGGAAATTTCCCTCCGATATCAAAACTTATTAGGGCCTGATACTGCCAATCTTACATTGGGCAGTAGTGTACAATGAGTCATCTTACTGAAATCAATGGGATGGATAATTCATGTAAAAAATTACTTCTCAACATGGGTAAGGGTGGGAGAATTGGGCACTCAGTATCTCTCATGACACTTGAATAATTGAGATTGTACTGTAATAGCAATAAGACAATAAAGCAAAACTCCACTGAAGTTGTTGGTGCTACAAAATGTAAAAATGGCAAAAGTAAGATCAGAATTAAGCCTCGTGTATTTCCCTGCTTTTACCTTCCTTCTTTCATCCTCACATCTTAATTTTAATTTTTGTTTCATTTTCTGCAGTACATAAAAATCCATCAGAACTACCTCTTGTTTTGATCTGTTACTTTCCAGATCACAATCACACCTATTCATCTTTGTAATAACACTGATACACAATGTTACATGTGCATTCCTTAATGAAGAAATAAATCTAGATTTCTAAAAGGAAGGACCATATTTCATTAAATCCTTCCTCTTTTTCATTCCATTAGCATGTATCTTTTTCAAAGCTTACCAAGATCTCTGACTTGCTATCCCAATCTATTCAGCTGTGCAAAGCTCTGTGATTTCTCTCCATAGGTAAAGCTTAAATGTTTTTGAAGTTGCATGGATTTGCAAGTCTGGCATCTTGCTTTGAGTTTGGGATGAGAATACACCCCAAAACTCAAAGTGAAAATGAACCAAAACTGCAGTCTTCCCCACCCTCCTTATTCTAGGCCAGTGCAACATCACTAAGTTTTGTGAGTGTCTAAGTAACACCATTTATCCTTCCCTGAAGTGGGGAGTTTTAGATCTGGGATGAAACCCAAACTCTGGTGATAACCTGTCTGTGTGGTTTCTCTATGGAAGTTTTACTCTGATAATTGGCCCATTTAGTGATTTTTTTTTAAATGCTTTCTCCTCATTGTGACCAGGGTGCTTCCTGGAGTTTCCCATTCAAAGCCCAGAACCTGTATTAAAGTTTCTAGGATCATGCAACATCATCTAAACCAAATCTGTTTGTGATTCTCTTTGCCACATCACAGCCACAGTAGTCCAATGTGCATATGTCTGTGTGTATCTATATAGGCAAGGGTATCATTTTGTGGGGAGAGGACAAATACTGGAAAATTTAAAAATAGAGAAAGCACTAAAAATATACCAAAGGGTTTTTACTGTCAGGTGTAGAGATAGGGGCAAAAAGATCTAATAGGTTTCTTCAGTGTCTGATTTCTGCTTCTGGGATTAAAATATTTATCCTCATTTTAAGCAGCAGAAACTACAGTACTGCTATTCTTCACAAGTAGCAGCTGCTCTATGTAGAATTTGAAATCTATAAATTGGAGCAGTTAGCCCACAATGCAGCCCCCATTCTGAGGTCCTTCACCCTCGCTAATAACTCATATCTCCATAATTCATGACTGTCAGATGTGTGGTACTAACTCATCAGGTAATTCTGTACTTTGGTCATCTAATTGCTCTAAAGCTTATGAATTTGGGGTTGATCTCATCTGAAGAATATTAAAGACCACGAAATATGTTTACAGGCAAATGAAGATACATTAAGAGAGCATCAAAATTTGGTTGGTTCTTGGCAATCACATTTTTCTTAGTTGTTACCCTGCTTTAATAATTTTGAAAGAAAACTCAGATGAAGCAACATGAAAGGAATTAGGCTCATGTGGCCACTTGCTCTCTTGTGTCTTGTGTTCCTGAAATTGAAATAAGAAAAACACAACTTAAATCCCACAGAACTGCACACACTACTAAATACACTGCAAGGTCAAAGCCTATTTTCACTTACAAATTAAATGAAAGTATCTGTTTCCTAGTTTCTGTGATTCTTTTTCCACTGAATGGGAGTTTTGCCTTTGACTGATATGGAGCAGGATTTAGTCCCTTTGCAAACAAATTCATGTTTGTTAATTTGCTGCTGCATGAAGCTCTTCCCTTTTGCATGCAAACGTGTCAGAGTTTGGTTTGTGGCTAGTCTTTGTTCTAGTGAGCTGACTTGTACAGTTATGAAATCGTAAAGATGCTGCAGCTGGCCTGGAGGCAGGACAGCAGCGTATTCTGTTGCTGTGTGCGGAAGCTAGGTTCAAGAGTCAATTTGGGACTCTCATTTCCTGGGCTGTGGGAGCTGTGGGGACTGTAAATCGTGCAGAGTGATGGCTTTATTGTTCTGTGGAGCATGTGGCTTCCTGATCCACTGACACTGCCTGGAAGAAGTTAGACTTGAGGCTAGTTGCTGCGATGCTGATCATAGAAGGGAAATATGTGAATTAGAAAGAAACATTAGGCAGAGATGAAATAGGGGAGAGAGAGAGATTCTAAGAGCCTGATCCTCAGCTACTGTAAATCAGCATAGCTCTATTCAGTTCAATGGAGTTACACTAGTTCACATCAGCTGGAGGACCTGACCCTAAATATTAACATTAAATTAACTGGATTATATGTGGTCTGTCTGAAATGAGGAATCACTCATGGAGTTATCTAAGATAAAGGCATAGATCCAGATTCGTGGACACTCCCAAAATACATGCAGCAGAAGTCAAGGGGCAGTGTGCACAGCTGGCATAAAGCATTCCTTTGTGCTGCTCTGATTCTGGTGGTATTTTTAGCAGCTACCACCATATGTTGTGTTAAACTAGCCTGAGGGCTGGTCTTGCGTACATTAGCCTATAAGAACCATGAAGGGCTAAATACTTAGGCCAGGACTGGATAGCAGATATGTGTTCTAACTATGTCCCCCTTTCCTCATACACTGAAAAAGGGTGTCATGTAAACCCTACGTTGGATGTAGCCCACTGCAGGATCAACGCTGCACACTGGTGATCTTCCCTGGCTCGCTTACTCAATTTCTGCAATCTTAGAACAGTGACAACTTGGCACAAAGCAGACACAGTGCCCTGGGCATCTGGCCGATATAACTGAAGCCAAGGTCACCAGCATTGAAGCAATGATCCTCACGCACCAAATTTGCTGGGGGGGGGACATTGTGTGCGGATGCCAGACTCTCGCCTTCCAAAACAAGCCTTCTATTCTCAGCTCACCCATGGTCAGAGATCCCGTGATGATCAGAGTACATGCTACAAAGAGACACTGAAAGTGTATCTCAAGAAAACTGATGGACATCACAAGATGGGAGGAGCAAGCCACCAACCAACCTCAATGGCACCGCATCCTCCATCAGGCAGTGGCCCGCTTCAAGGAGAAGTGCTTTGCCCTCCAAGCTGAAAAGAGAGAGAGAAGAGGAAGGAAAAAGAAAGCACTTTCTCCCAGCAGGCAGCTGACTCGCCAGGAAATGTCTGTACCTACTGCAGGTGGATCTGTGGTTCCAGGATCCTGAGTCCTCTCTAAACCCATATGTAAATCTCGAATTGAGAGATCGCTGCTGCTGATGACCTGGGGATCTGGCCCATATACTAGAGCCCCTTTCTGGTTCAATAACTAGGTACACTTCCTTGAAAATGTAGCTTTATTTACGAGATAATATTAACACAAGCGTAGATGCTGCCGCACCCCCTGGCTTGAAGTGGTTTCAATCATATACAGAGTTTGGTTCAATGGCTCTCAGCACCCCCACTATGCAAATTTGTTTCAGCAACCCTGAACACAAGTGCATGTCCACAAAGTGAAAGGATTTTAGCCTGCATTCAACCAAACTATCTTCCTTTTAATCTCCTGCTACAACTTGTCTGCCTCACTCCCATGGGCAAACACAGTATTGAATTCTGTCAGTGCAATTCAGGGAAAAGAACACTGTCAAGTTAAAAATGCATGTATTTTAAAAGTTGCCTTAACAAGGTTGGTTTGTTTTTTAATAGTTAACTTAGAGGTGTGTGGCTTAGTGGATTGAGTGCTGGAGTGAGCTTTATGAGACCTGGGTTCTATTCCTGACTCTCCTACTAGCCTGTTGGGTGACCTTGTGCCTCAGTTTCTCTATCTGTAAATTGAAAATGATACTGATTTCCTTTGTAAAGTGCTTTAAGATCCACTGATGAAAAGCATTATAGAAGTGCTAGGAGGTATTATTTTCAGAACTGAAGGAAACTGAACTGAACCTGTAGCACTGCATCCTTGTACAAATGGATAAAACCCTTATAGTGACTAAACAAAAGTAAACTTACTAGTCTATTTTCCTTGTCATAGAACAATAGGGTTAGAAGGGAAGGCAAGGGTCAACCCTCCTGACAAGATGCAAGATTTTGTGTCTAAACCATCCAAGACAGATGGCTACCCAACCTCCTCCTTTTGGAGTGAAGGAGCTTCTACAACTTCCCTAGCTCCAAACTGTTAAAAGGACAGGATGCAGGTAAATATCATCGTGACAGGATGTCAGGGTGATATTTACTGTCAGGACAATATTTACCTGCATCCTGTCCCTTTTAGCATTTGGAGCTCTGCTGAAATGATCTAAGGGGGTACAGTGGGAAAGCAGGAAGTGGGCCCAGGAGGGTCTGAAAGAATAATTAGACTTGTCTAGAAGCATAAATATAATCTATAGAAATATAAACTCTGCAGTCACTAGGGAAGGAAGCTGGAAAGTGACTTGCCACATTTTTCATAATAAAAAATAAAACTGCAGCTACTCAAGTAGTTCTAAGCTGTTAAATATGTTGCTTTGAGGTGAGAATCACAGATTTTAACAGTGGGATGTTGTCCTGTCAAAGTCAGCTGTATCCTTACAGAGATGCCAAACAAAACCTTCCTTGGCTGACCGTAGCAGAGATGAAACCTCTGCAGTTATTTGGTGAGAGAACAGCTGAGAGCCTCCTGCTAAGTTTTAATCACTCTGTTTTGTAAGGTTTCAGAGTAGCAGCCGTGTAAGTCTGTATCCGCAAAAAAAACAGGAGTACTTGTGGCACCTTAGAGACTAACAAATTTATTAGAGCATAAGCTTTCGTGGGCATCCGAAGAAGTGGGCTGTAGCCCACGAAAGCTTATGCTCTAATAAATTTGTTAGTCTCTAAGGTGCCACAAGTATTCCTGTTTTGTCAGACTACCAGAGGAACAGTTCTATTTGAATATATGATCGCTCAATTCTGTTTTGTTAGAATCTCTCAGTACATAAATAAGGTCAGATAGATGCTTCTTTCTAGCTTGCTTGAATACACCTATTCTTTCCTGTTTGGAAGTAGTTTAATTTATGTTTCTTTACTTGTTGGGATAGTTCATGATGATGATGCAACCTGACGACATCAGAGACTATATCCTCATGTGCCAGAGTTTTACATCCCCAACCTCTTTCCATTTTTTTTTTTTTACTGGCAATTCCTGCCATGTTGCCTGCTATTTGTACCATGGAAAATCCAGCCCCAAGTAGTAAGGGTTTTTTAGTGGTCTTAAGCAATGTTTATTTATGCTAAAATGAGTATATTTTATAGTACAAGCTAATAAGTTAGGTCCTGACCTAAATTTATGCATGCATGCTTGAAAAAGGTAGAATCACGATTCAATATTTCAACAACTAAATAAAAGTGGTCTGGTTTTTCAGAAGTGTTGCGCTCTCACAGATTTTATAGACGACCTTGGGATGTGAAGGCATTCCCCACCTCTGAAAATCGTGTCACTTTTATTTAGGTGCCATGGCCTTTTGTCCATACGTAGAGGAATAATGACCTAAATAAATCACTTTTTTTTCTGAACCTAACATCCTGGTAATATTTAGGAAAACCGGAGCTAGTCGGGGTGACCCAATAAGCTATCATACATGTTTACAGAAATAGTATTAACTTTTTGAAACTGTCAAAATCATTAGAAAACTTTTGAAATCATTATTTTCATTGCATTGGACTCTTCAGATCTTTGTAAATGAACCATCTTTGCTAGAGAGAACGTGTTAATAAGCCCAACGTGCACCCATGTGTTCTGAATAAGAGAGAAATTCACCATTCACTGTAAAAGTTAGCTTCTTGATTTACAAATTAAAACTCAACCATATGCAGTATTTCTTCTATTTCTTGCACAACTGACCTCTGAACTTCAAGGTGATAGATCACCCTATTTGGTAATATAACCACCCATTAAAACCTAACAGTTCTGGTTGCCTTTGCTAGAGTGGCCACCAATCAGATACACCCAGGCTGGAAGACAATACCTCATTTAGAGAGAGATGAGGTTTTTTCCAAGTGTAATTATGTTTCATAGCTACTGCAGCAGCCATAGTCATGGCAGCATATACAGCGGTTTCCGTTGTTTCCAGTAAAGATTTACCGTATTTATGACATATAAATAAATGTGTATTTTATGAGAGGTTGTTTACTCATTTGGGGGAACTTAGAGTGCATTCTCTGAATTCCTCCATGGAGTGGCCATGCAGATAGTGTCTCATTGGTCAGTAACTGGTTGACAGACAAGAAATAAAGGGTAGGAATAAATGGTCATTTTTCAGAATGGAGAGAGGTAAATAGTGGTGTCCCCCAGTGATCTGTACTGGGACCAGTGCTGTTCAACATATTCATAAATGATCTGGAAAAACGGGTACGCAGTGAGGTGGCAACATTTGCAGATGATACATAATTACTCAGGATAGTTTAAGTCCAAAGCAGTCTGCGAGGAGTTACAAAGGGATCTCTCAGAACTGGGTGATTGGGCAACAAAATGGCAAATGAAATTCAGTGTTGATAAGTGATCTAAATTAGCTGTACCATTCAAGAAAAAGATCTTGGAAGAATAAGTTCATAGAGGATAGGTCCATCAATTGCTATTAGTCAAGATGGTCAGGGATGCAACCCCATGCTCTGTGTGTCCCTAGCCTCTGACTGCCAGAATCTGAGAGTGGACAACTGGAGATGGCACTAATTGCCATGTACTGTTTGTTGCCTCTGAAGCACCTGGTATTTGCAACTGTTGGAAGACAGGATACTGAGCTAGATGGACCATTGTTCTCAAGTTTGTGAGCAGCATCATTTAAATCTTTCTAACTAGCATAGCAGCTGAAGCTCACTATGGGATAGGAAGACTGCTGAAAAAGTTGAAAGTTTATTTAAAAATGGAAGAGCTTCTGATGAAACAGATGCAATTGCGGTCACCTCCCTTGAGTCATGTGGGGCTCTATTTCTCCATCCCCTGCCTAAAATGCTAGAGTGCTGAGCCTTAAGTGCAATATTTTTTTAGAAGCCTGCAACTTTTTGAGATTGGATCCTTTCATCATTCTTGCATTTGTCAAAGCTTGTAGAGTATGGCACTTTATTTTCCTGTCATATAAACCCTTTTAAGAATTTAAACTTTTAATTGAAAATTAGCTTTGAGTATAGTTAGAAATAGCCAGCTATGCCAGTAGCATGTAATCATTTCTGTAAATGGTTTAAATAAAAGTGCTGTGTTGTTGTATACTATTTTTCACTATAATCTTATGTCTACCTGAATAATATTCAGACTGTTTGTATAAAATATTACCACTTTCCTGTCCGTTTAACAGGTCCGTTTAATGCTGCTTTCCATAGATGTAGATCTTTTTGTTTCTCTGTGTGTTAATTATTTTTAGAAAAGATCTTATTTTCTCATTTTCTTTTTTTATTTTGGCTGCATTCTTTTAGAGGAAAAGTCCGGTAAGAAATAATTTGCTCTTTTTCTACCTTTTTATAACTTTTTTTTTTTTAACAGAATACTTTCCTTTGGTGTTTTTTCTGTTTCCTCTGTCCATTTGTCACTTGTCTGTAGAACTGAAATGTAAAATGCAAATACCGTATATCATTGTTTACAAATGATGGTGTCTATTCTTTCTCGTGTGGATTTAGTTCAAAGCTGTTTTTAAAATGAGCTAGGTTTCGCTTCCATTAAATTTAATTATTTTCCCCTTTTGGCTTGTATGAGAAGAGGAAAGTTTGAGGGTGTTTTTTTGCCCAAAGATTTATGGGATGAAATCCTGTTCCCAATGTAGCCAATGAAAGTTTTCCCATTTACTTGGGTGGGCCAGGATTTCACCCATGATATGTTTAATGCACATTACATTGCATGTCCAGTTAACAGATGATGGGGAAACCAAAAGTTCTATAGCGTAACCTTTGCTGTTGTAGTAACATTAACAATATTAATGTGTTCTTGCCAAATACTTGGTTATAAATTTTCATGCCATAATGTGTAGGCCTACACAGAGTTTTGAACATTAAATGAGTTGTGTGGTCTGAGCACCAGATCTCAAGAGAGGAACTTCTAAATTCTAGTCTCATCTCTTATAATTACTCCTCCTATTGCCTTGGGCAAGTCCCTTGAACTTTCTGCCTCATTTGCCATCTGTAAAACAATGATTTTTCCTGACAGTCAGGAGTCTTGTGAGTTTTGTTGGCTAATGTTTGGACTGAGAAGTGGGTTGTAAGATAAGCCGAGTGATAAGTTCTAGTTATTTAGGCATATTAGATACATGTTCTAAAGATGAACTCTCCTTTCTTCACTTTGCTACCTTACAGTACCTCTTATTACTTAAGTTTTCTTGTGGCATATGGTAAATATTTTTTCTACCAAAATAGTTTTGAATAGATTTGAAGTAAAGTAAAAGTCCACTTGTTTCATCATTAAAAGAAACCAAATGTTTAAGAAATTTTACAACGTATCTTAATTTTTAATATGGAAGAAAATACTACCTTGATCAAATAAATAAATTATAAGAGGACTTGCTAACTAAGAAGAACACTGCAAATAGACCTTGTCATTGTAGAAAAAAATGTAGGGCCAGATCCTTAACTCACCTAACTCGGTAGCGCTCCACTGAAGTTGGTGGAGCTATTGCATCTGACACTGGCTGAGGTCCTGGTCTATAAACGTCCCACTATAACAGAAATACCTTTCTGATTCATTTTCTCCATACCACTGCAACTTCAACTTGAAGTTAATTAGTAAATTTTAGGTGAAGCTTTCCTGCAGTCTGTCTGTATTGCAGGTGGTGTGTCTGTATCAATGTGGCTTTTGTTCCTTTTCCAGAAATCTGGGACTTTTTGATCTTAGCTGTCTGCATAACCATTCACAAATAACAGTCAAGTTTTATTAGAAAATTTAAATCAGAATTTGAATGATCTCCTGGCTTTTAAAAAAACACTCATGCCTTTCATTATCTAAGATACTTTTGTTTACCCAGTGACCCCATGGACTTTGTCACTGGTCTGTTGAATTTCACATAGTTTTTTTCCTGCTTTACTTATTTCCCTTGCTGGGCAGATAGACAGCTGCATTCATATACATAAAATGGCCTACCTGCTTCAAAATGAGAGATGACTTGTCCCATGGTAGGCTAGATGAGCTAACCAAAGATACAGAGGTCTGGTCTAGTCTTCATTGTGCACATAACTCCCATTACCTTAATGGAAATAATACGTGCAGAACAAGGGGAGAATATGGATCAGGGAAAAGACCAAAATATGAGATGTCACTGGGATAATGGGGAGTGGAGGGTTAGGGGGATGGAGAATGAGAGACACACTCTAAAGGTATGCAATGAAGGTTTCAGTCAAATCCGACTATTTGTTATGTAAAACCACTGAAGTGCTCTCTGTTTTTTAAACAAATAAAATTCTTCTCAAACTTGCACAAATACAAAAGCCTCATTGGACTAATAAATTTATCACATCTACCCCATTAATCGTATCAGATTCCTGAATTCAATAGAAAAAGAACTAACCTAGCAAAGACTACCTTGAGTGGAACTGTCAAGTATTCATTAACAAATATCACAGAGTTGTGGGAAAAGTCCAGTAAAACATCAGTTGAACAGTCCTGTATTTATTGTACATCAAACTGACCGCGGAGCTTTGCGAAACAAGAAGAGTATGCCCAAGGCAGTTGTGATTTTGACATGTCTGACTGATAGCATTTGAAGTTCCAAAACCCTACACCATCTGTTTGCAGAACACCTAGATAACTGAAACACAACTCTGAGATATGTCATGAGTAACTTCAATTTTTATTGACACATATGTAGTGATAGTAAGTTGCAGTTGTTTATTACAGGAAAAAGATTTTTACCAGTTGGCTACACCAAAGGAAAAAACAAAAAAACCCTCAAAGGCAGATTAGGAGGTTCCTTGGAAAACTGTGGGAAAATGACATTCATCCCTTCATTTACTTTCTTTGTGACTTTGGCATGATTGGCCATAATGGCTCATGTACCATGGTTTTTCCAGTTTCTTTTTACAGAAGAACCTCAAACACTGAGAAATGTGAACATCTCAAATCCCCGACCTTATGTGGCAGAGAAGTCATAAGAACTTGTATGGTTCTTGATTTGGAACATCACCAATTGCTTCTAAAACATTAGATGAACTTAACTTTACTTAATTACAGATTATAGGTCCCTGAAAAATTCCCCCTCCACTTCTGATGTGACATTTGACATAAAGAATATGTGTGTGTATTGGCAGGGAAAAGGGAGATGTCCTTGCCCCGGTTCCGTAACTGTCGATTACTAGGTGCAGTAAATACACCACAGTTCAGCTTAGCATTGTCTTCAAAAATGGTTAATACTTTGTATCAAATTCATTAACCCAAAGAGACTGTCTCTTTCAGGTATTTGTGCAGGTGTGAGAAGAATATTAATGGTTTTGAAGACTATGTAGTACCTTACTCTCAACTTTATCACTGATTTCATGAAACTGTTAAGTTAAAATGTATGGATAAAACTATCTCTGCTGTAACACACACATGCTGTATATGTATATACATTCAATTATATACAAGCACACACAATAGGCCATATGTTCAGCCTTCCTCTGGCTGCTTTGCTTTGCTCTGGCAGCACACAGCAGCCAAAAACCCCTGCCAATCCAGTCCTCTGTGGATTCCTCCAGCATAGGAGGAACCCCTATGTAGTAGCTCTAGGAGATGTGGACAGGAACACCAGTGTGCTCGCATAGTTCCCTGCTACTGGTACAGCACTTAGGAGTCATAGGCAGCTGGGAGCAATTTAAAGAGTATCTGAGGTTGCTGGAGTTCCTAACCCCAGGATCAGGGAGCTTCAGAGTACCAAAGCATACCCCACCTCCCATCCACTGCACCAAGCTTGTCAGCTGCAGCTGAAGATATATGCTGGCATCTTCTTTTTTGCTTGTATCAGCAGGTAAAGTTATAGTGATACCAAAGGAAATCCGAGCCAAAGAAATAACAACCTGTGTTGTGTTGTCCAAACGTGGTCTGTGAAGCTAGTAACTTAGCTGATTGGTGCACACATAGAAGATTCTCATTGGGACTTAGTGTCCTTTAAATAGGGAAAGGATTTTCATAGAAACGTAGAAGTGAATCCTAGAAAAGTAGGACTGCAAGGGACCTCAATAGGTCTTCTAGTCCAATCCCCTGCACTTAAGGCAGGACTACGTAATAACTAGACCATTCCTGACAGGTTTGTCTAACCTGTTCTTAAAAATCTCCAGTGACGGAGATTCTACAACCTCTCTAGGGCTTTCATATTCATTGGAAGACTCTTAGGAGAGAATACTGATAGACTCCATGTATATGTACAACTTTCTACCCCATTATACCTCTGAAGCATACACCAAAGTGTTGGCTTATTATATTCTTTTCTTGTTCTGCTACTGAGTTGTCTTCCTCTGTACAGTAGTGGTTGTGGGTACTCCTGTGTCCTTTCAAGTTCAGACCTTTTTTGGACGTGTGTGTATGGGGTAATTGCTACCCCATAATCCATTCTTCTTGTGCTCCGCCTCTGGCTGAGTATTCTCACTCACTCTTTTTACATTGGCTCACGTTAACAAGTATTTTTCCTTATTGATAATAGGGTCGTCATTGAGCTAGGACAGCATGTTCTCAAACCCCGTGATTTTCATTTCAATCAACTGAAAATTTCCAAGGAAATATTTCCTCTTTTTGTTAATGGCAATTATTTCTCTCCTGTAGAGCTTTTTTTTTAAAATTCATTGTTACCTTGGCATTCAAAACCAACTGCCTCTCAGCCCAGTTCTGTTTCTCAAATGCATATATAATGTACTCACCACCATGGTATTTAGGTGCCACGTGTTTGAAATAGTTGCTGGTCTGCTGCAGTTTCTTTATCCTCACAAGATTTGGGTTTGAAGAATCTCTTCCCAGGGGAGGTCTGTGGCTTGTTTATGGCAGTTTTCTCAAAGTTTAAAGACGCCTCAGGGTGAGACGACACCCTGCATAGACTGCATAACCCATTAACCTGCCTTGTAGAGTTGGATGAGACTTGAGGTGTCTTTAAAACACCATTTGACACCTGACTTAGCACCCAAAAATACTTAATTTCTTTTAACAAAAGGCTTCCTATAGCCTGGTAAATTAAATATATTTTTAAATAGGGAAATGACACTTCAAATCTTTGGGGTTTATGCTTATATTAATATATCCTTTTTAAATCCTGGATTTTTTCCCTCCTCATGGAAGGGTCCTGTGAGCGCTAATGATGCCTCTTCCCTGATTTTTCCTCTTGAGAAGAAACTGTCAATCTTTCAATCATTATCTATCAAATTGCTTTGTAGCATTTTGTAATTTACAAATGTGGATTCAAATTAAACCAGCCAACTGCTGTTCACTTGGAATCTGACCCGGGCTTTGACTCCAGGTGTCTTGAGCTGAAAGACCAGTGCCCCAAGCTAGATACTCGGTGCTTTTTATATCTTACTTTAAGCTTAGTGCTTCAGTGGGTTGTTGGTCAGAGATTTGAACTGTGAATTACAAGTGCCTCTAACTCTAGTTTATTAGTCTCATAGTGTAAGGGAAGCTAAAGTGGCTGAAAATTGTGCAGAGACAATTCCAGGTGCTACAGGAACAAGGAACAAAATGAGCTTATTCTTATAGGGCTCACTAGGACACACTGTTGTTTTTTCTGGTAGATATTTTTACTGTAACAAAGCAACATGACCTAGTGCTTAGTTCCTGACACTTTGAGCTTGGAACTACTGAGTTCTAATAGCAGCTCATCATGACTCTGGGCGAATCACGTGCCCCCAGTCCTGCAGTAAGCTCCAGTCACTCTAATATTGGTAATAGTTAGCATTCTTACATCTCAGCTCAGAGGGAATTAAGGTTGCTCAGCACCTCAGAGTCATGCCTTTAATCCTCTCTCTCTTTTCATTTTCTTCATCTGTAAAACTTGGATAAGAATATGGTATCTCCTTCCCAGGTGCACTGCGCATTGATTGTGAAGTACTTTGAAAAATGTAATATATAAAACACTCTACACATGTTGAGTACTAGCTATCCCCTGTAGCTCTAATATTACTATCTCAGAGGGAGAGAGAGATCCGTATGTCTGGACTGTGCCTGCCCTAGATCATTGGCTTCTTGGGTCAAGGACAATCTGGAATGCGTTGTACACACCAGTGTTCAGTTCTCTCTCTCTCTCTCTGTAGTTGTGATGACCCCTAACAATAATTAAAATAGTGCATTTGATCATTTTAGTTTGCCTCTTCTTGAAAAATTATCCATTGACTCAGCTTTATTTTATGGCATGGTCCTAAAGAACTGAGGAATTATTGCAAGCAAGAAAGACAGAACAAGAGGAAGGGAACTTGATCTTGAGATCAGATGCACACCTGTTAAGTCTCCACAGGTTGGATACCATCTCTCAGGCTTCCTCAAGAAATCTCCTGCATTTTCTCCCACGGTTTTTCTCTTGAAACTGCTTATGTGGGTGGGTTCAGACAACTCTTCTCCATTGTGCACTCTCCCAGCTCCTCTGCTTTCCATGAGCTGGTCGTATTGTGAGGAGTATGGTAGCTGAGAACAGAGGAGCCTGGAGGACAACGTGAGCAAAGCAAATCAGCCCATCTGCTTGCCCAGTACTCCTGAGAGGGGAAGGTGCTTGTAAAGAGGTTTCTAACTTCAGAACTGAGTTGTGAGGAGGAGAGCTCCATTGCCACAGGAATGAGGGGAGGGAGAAGATGCTTGTAGAGATGCCTGAGGGATGTACTTATTACACCTAAAGTTGGGAACTTCAGGCACCCTAACAGACATCTTCCATCCCACTGTGATTCTGGAGCCTAATGTTTATGTAGTTTACCCCCCAAATTCCTGACAGCCTTGTAAATCTCTGAAAAGGGTATATAAAGCAGGGTCAAGGTCATCACCATTAATGAGCAAAACCCAAATTCGGGTAGGAGTGGGGGTGCTGGAGTTCACTTTTCAAAACACTGTTTATTTAATTAGAAAAATCTCATATTACCCAAGTCTGTTTACTGATCTGTCATTCTCTGACTAGGTGTCTGTTCTCTCTTCCTTCTTGCTGATCACAGAGGCGCAGCCCGGTAAGAACTCTTACAATGTTGTTGTCCTTACATTTGTTGTGAAAATGGCTGACTAGTTGTTGGGGTCTGGTTTATTTAGCCTTAAATCATTTTTTCTGCGTATCTGTAGTGAAGTAAATGAATGTACACTTTGTTTGGTGTACGTTTTTTTTTTTTTTTTAACCTTCTGAATGATTGATGTATCAGAGAGAAGTCAATATACAGGCTTCTTTGTTCAAATACATATGTATTTGTATTAGTCACTCAGGGTTCAGTCCAGCAGCGGTGTGAATGAGTTATGGTTATGAAAGCAGGCCTGAGCCATCAGTGCTTTGTTATGGGGCTGCTGAGCATGGTGTAGTGTTGTTCTCACAGTCCAACAGGGTGAAGAAAAGCGAAGGGAGAAGGTGATTCAGGCTAATTGCAAGAACACTGTGCCCAGCATACACACGAAAGCATTGAGCAGCTTGTTGTGGAAGATGTTTCCATGAGACCCTTCTGAAGTGTTCTCCCATGGCTGTCCCTGCCCCGTTGCTTAAGAGCTGGCCTTAAAAGAATACAGGAATAGGTGCTACCCCTGATAGGTGGTAGGAATAAATGAAAATCCTGAAAATGGCTGCCATTCATATCAGTTGCATTTAAGTACCTATTCCTCAACCATGCCCTATCCTTGTCTCCCCTGCCATTCTCTTCAGGAGCAAAACTGATTCCATAACGTGCACATGTGTGTCATAAAGGTAATTACCAGCATAGATGGTGGATTGGAGTCAAATTTCATTTACTCCTTAGTATTGATGCTTGTCTTCTCAATCAAATTGAGATGTCAGCTTTGTTACCTGTTTTACATATAAATTATGCTCACCTGGTCCTAAACCTTAGTGTTTGTTTCTAATTCCAGGGTGCAATTAAAAGGAATTTATCCAGTAAGTATATATTTTTTAGTTTGCAGGAACAGATAGTGTCTCAAGAAGATTGATTCTCTCGTGAACTTTAAAGAAGGCAAATTTATGTCAAAACTTGCACCTCTACGTAGTTTTCAAAGTATACTTAAACTTTCATTTCCCAAAGAATAACTCTTAAAGGAGAACTCTAGGTACTGTATTATTAATGACTGAATCCTTGACATGGATGGGGGATGCAGTGCATGTGCCGTTGAACTGCTGTATGTAGTGTTCCACCCTTCAAGAATGTGTTGCGTATAAAATTAACTTAGTCTATTAATGTAGGGTGAGCAGATGTCCCGATTTTATAGGGACAGTCCCAATTTTGGGGTCTTTTTCTTATATAGGCTCCTATTACCTCCCACCCCCGTCCCGGTTTTTCACATTTGCTGTCTGGTCCCCCTACTATTAATGTGATATGATGCCTCTAAAGTCAAAAGGCACATGGAGCATTCTAAGTTGGTGGCATGCAACCCTGTTCAACAGACTATATTTCTTAGAATGTCAAATAGTCCCAACCACAAAATTTTTAATAAGGAGGAATAAAGAAGGCAAAGCTAGTGCTTACGCCTTTGTGCTCTCAAGTCAGAAAAATTAGATAGCAGACAATTAGATTCTGCTTTCTATGCAGACAGCTATACAATGGGCTTGGTATGTGGCGACTTGTTGAATACATATATTCCCTGAATATATGTATTCAGTGAGCCAGGAGTTACACACATACTGTAAATCTCTGCGTAGAGGGATGAGATTAATATATTTGTATGTATTGGGGAGCTGAATTACACTTCATCACCTTATTATGGCTTGAGATCACTCAGCCTCTGACTTCTATGTCCACGTTTAATTTTTAGCATGTAAGTGCATGCTAGTTTCATGTAGTTGAGGTGATCCACATCTTTGAGTAGTTCATATGAAAAATTGAGATAGAGAACTCAAGTGAGAACTGATCTAAACAGAACTATCATATGCGACAGGTGAAGAGATAGCAAGACCTAGGCGTTCAACACCAACTCCAGAACTTGTAAGGTCAGTATGAAAGAAATTGTAAATTAATCTAGATATTGCACAAATGTTAGTCTTGGATCCTTGCACCAAAGGTAGAGATGAGCAGTTAACTTATTACCTAACCCACAACTACTTTGGGAACTGATACCCTCTTAGTTTTGCAGATTTTCATGTACAAAATTATCTAGATTTGATACCATTCTTGGTAGCACCTTCAGGAAAGAAGCATTTCTTAAAAACACCATCTCCAGCATTTCATCTTACTTCCTGGAACCAATCATAATTGTAAGAATGATGTAAAAAAGTGGAAGTGCCCTCCATGAAGTAAAGTAAATCATATTAATATATTCTCCTGCCTACTGGGTCAAGATGACTCAGTGCCAGCCTGAAAAGTTCACTGTGTGCTTTAAGGCTGATAAGAAAGCTTTATTTATCTAAATTTAGCTCCCTACCTGTGACAACTTAGCTGTCTGGTTATCACTAACACAGCCACCTTCCATTTCACAGGTGGCTTTGCTGTATTTCAATGATGGGTGTCTAGTGTGTAATCACACTATTGCCTGTCTTGTTTGTAATCCATTTACCAAGCTATATTATTTGGGACCTTTGGTTGAAAGGTCAATCAAATCTTATATAAATGTCAGTGATTGTATTTATTCATGATGCTTCCTCTCATGCTGACTATAACAACTTTGTAAAGATATCAGATGCCATGGTGATGGGCACTGTATAAAAATCTCAATAGATCTAGAAGCATACCAAAAGCAAATGCAGAAATAAAGGCCTGCTGAAGCCATTTATATTAGTTTTCTTTATTCATGTTGGGATGATGCCATGATATTATAAAACAATCAGGTCTCTTCTAATCTTTGGAATAAAGCTATGGAATGTATGGAATGAAACAGAAAAAAGATAGCCAAGCCAAACATTTAATGTTAAACATCACCCTAAGGGTGATGTTCTGCCACTGATGTGCAAGTAATTCATATCCAGAATAATACTTGTTTGTATTAACAGGAGTTATCTACGCAATCTGTCTATATTAGTTATCTCTCTAGTGCCTAGCTCCTTGTGACACCTTAGAGACTAACAAATTTATTTGAGCAACAATCTAATGGGTCCATGGCCACCCAGGTCTGGCACCTTTGCTATAATAGCACAGATCCTTGTCACCTGAACTAAAGAAGAATCTTCACATTGGCTGTGTCTACAGTGCACCGTAGTGCAACTATGGATGGGTGGGGGGGTGAATCGCAGCACACATCGAAATGCTGCAGTGCTCTGTATCTGCCCTGTGTGGACAGTGCAGGCATGAACTAAAAGGAACCTAGTTTGTATTAGCATAGTCCTTTTCAAACAGGACAACATTAACGCAAACCAGGTACTTTTTAGTTTGTGCCAGCAGCATCCACATGGGTCAGTTACAGCACTTTGGTGTGTGCTGCACCTCACACCCATGTAGTCCAAATGACAGGACAGTACAGACAATTATCAGTAGACCTAAGGGTTTTCATCTTCCCTGTGGGTCAGCCGCTTGCAGGCTATATAGTCAGACACTTGATCAATGCTGGCAGTATCTCCAGTAGAGAGTGTGATATGCATGCATGCTAGTTAGCCCTTTAATCCCACACATAGCACCGAGAGGCTAACACCTCAGGACCTCTTCATCCTTTAAGCCCATTTACAGTTTGTTCCTTACATTTCTTGTGCCAATATTTGTATTATCCTGCAGCAAAAAAGCCCCAGATGATCCTTCAGCCCTCGCCCCACTGTTTGGCCCACCACTGGAGTCAGCATTTGAGGAACAAAAGTTGGAAGGTATGAAAATTGACAGAGGGGTCGGTTGCTTGCTTGTTTGTTTACTAGCCTGGCCATTTTTTTAAAATGGGAATGTTAGTTTGAAATAAGCCTTTTTAAAAAAATAAGTGAATTCTGTAATAAGGTCAAATGTGTAACAAGTCTACTTGATCACTCTTCCTGCCATTGAGACATTGCACCTGGGTAACTCCTTCCTGTACAATACATAGAAACTGGCACAGTCTGCAGATTATAAATTGATGATAAACATGTAACTAGTAGTTCCAGTGCATGCAAAATAATTACCCTCTCGCAAAATAAAATTTAATCAGTGATCAGTTTCGTAAGTAACTTACACTTCTGATACAAACCAAACCATAGTCACAGGGGAGATCATATGCTCCTGGTGTAGGCCCCTCAGTCCAATATAAACAGAACCACAAGGGATATAATTTCCTGGAGAGTATCTCTGTTAAATATAAACAGCATCCCAGAGGATGTAACATCATGGCATTTTCTCTGTGAATGTGATTTTCTATATTAGGCAGATAGACCAGACGTTTGAAACCCTTTTAAAAGGAACATCAGCTCCAGCCAGACATTGAGTCAGGGAGAAGCATGTGCCAATCCAAGTATCGATGGAATGTTTGTATCTTCTGTCTGGTAGAAATTGGTATTCATAATTAATTAGTGGATTCTATCATTGAAATTAAGTATTTTGTATTGCTTTGGTGTATGTGATTTATTTTTGTGTTCTTAGCTCCTTTAGATCAGACAGAGATATGGGGTTCTGTCCAGCCAGTGAATTCCAGTCTAGATTCTCCAAAGCTACCAAGACCTTTTCCAACTGGAAGTAAGTTAAGTGTGGTTTATCAGTCTGAAAAATCAGGTGTTTCATTTTTATTATCTGGGCTAGGTATACTATGAAATTCTCTAACACTGTAATCATGTGGCAAGTTAATTTGTTTTTACTGGACTGACTTTAACTGCAACATACTAGAATGGGAAAAGGTGACATTAGTTTAATAATGTATTGGATAAACGGCTTTCAGAATGAAGGAAACCATTCACTTCATCCCTGGGGAGAGAAGCTTCTGCCTGTAATGTATCTGAATTTGCAAGACTAAATTTGACTCTATTTATCTGGAGAGAGAGAGAGAGAGAGATCTAGGAACAAATACAGCATATGATGGATACTATAGCTCCTGCTTATCTCCAAGAAAGATCCCGCTATCCTAAATTCGATTCACAGTTATATCTCCAGAGGAAATCATAGAAATGTCGGTCTAGAAGAGACCTTGATAGGTCATCTACTCCAGCCTGCTACACTGAGGGAGGACCAAATATATCTAGATATCCCTGACAAATGTTTGTCTAATCTGTTCTTGAAAACCTCCAGTGAAAACCTCCACAACATCCCCTGTCCTCAGTAGTTTGAAAGATTCTTCCTAATATCTAACCTAAATCTCCCTTGCTTCAGATTAAGCCCATTACTTCTTGTCCTACCTTCAGTGGACATGGAGAACAGTTGATCACCATCCTCTTTATAACAGCTCTTCATGTATTCAAAGATTATCAGGGCCCCGCTCAGTCTTCTTTTCTCAAGACTAAACATGCCCAGTTGTTGTTGTTTTTTACCAGTCCTAATAGGTCAGATTTTCTAAACCTTTTATCATTTTTGTTGCTCTCCTCTGGGCTCTCCAATTTTTTTCCACATCTTTCTTAAAGTGTGGTGCCCAGAACTGGACACTGTACTCCAACTGAAGCCTCACCAGTGCTGACTAGAGCAGGACAATTGCCTCTTATCTTATATATGACACTCCTGTTAATACACCCCCAGAATGATATTATCCTTTTAGTAACTGCATCACATTGTTGTATCATATTCCAATTTTAATCCACTGTAACTCCCAGATCCCTTTTAGCAGTACTACCGCCTAGCCAGTTATTCCCCATTTTGTAGTTGTGCATTTGATATTTTTTCTTCCTAAGTGTAGTACTTTGCACTTGCCTTTATTGAAGTTCATCTTGATACAGATAGTGGTGATGCACACTAATTGCCCTATAATCATCATTTAATTATGCAAGGATTTTAAAATAATCTACCATGATAAAAAGCAGTCAGTCATATCTCTGTACCACATTCCTGAATCTTGGGACAGGTGTGCAATTAATCTTTACCAACTCTGCACCTTCAATGGCATTAAAAAGAAGACACCCTGAACAGGAGGACCCTATAAAGAATCAAACACAGTTTTTTATCAGCTTAATGCATCTCTTGAATTTATATTCTTTCCTCTGACCTGTTTTTCAGCACCTCCACCACTTCCACCAAAAAACATTCCAGCTACACCACCTAGGACTGGTTCTCCCTTAACAGTTGGAATAGGTAAGAATGAGGCATTACGTTTATTAGCTCATGAAATAATACTGCATTAGATATATACCGGGTACTGTGCATAACTGAGCATGGTCCTGTAACCACTGACTCCAGAACACCTCCTCCCCCGCACCGACTTCAGTGCAATTTCTGCATGTGTAAATGCTTACAGAATCAGGTCCATTCTGAGGAAATCTGCATAATGACCACCTATTTGAACGTACTTGTATATGTTTAAAACACGTGCATTTTATGTTTCCTTTTTATTTCCGATGTTTTTGCATCTATTGTGTTCAAAATTATACTACCTAAGTCCTACATACAGAGCCCTTGGTTGTTGAATGATTTTGTCATCTTTACTATCTATTGGTTTATTTCCTCTCCCACTTTTTGGTACTGAGCCATTTTAGTAAAGAAATGTGACACTAGTTCTAAAGTTATACCTGAAACTGTTATAGTAGCTCTTTAAATTGGCTTTTAACTTTCATTTTGAATGTATTTTTAAGGTTCAATTCTTGTGAAATATGGGTGCAAAACTAACGTTCCTTTTTCTAAGAGCAATTCGGGGTCTGATCCTGTAATTCTTGCACCCCAAACTCCTGTTGCTTTTCAATGGGAAGCTTGGATGCGAAGTTAGGATTTAATCTAGAATTAGAAAATCTCCGTGTTATTCATGCAGAGGTATGCCAAATAGATTTGCTAACTGTAATACTTGTAAAGATGTATGGTGAAAGAAATCTAGACTATGTGGAATGCAACAGGAGTAAATGAGGTGCTTATAGCCATATGTGGCTAGCAGACATACATTTATCAACTAAAATCAGAACTGTATGTTTAAATAAAGAAATACAATCGTTCTTTGAAACAGATGCATTGTATGGAAAACAATAGTTACATTATGCAACATGAACATACAATGCAAATGTGGTATATTATTGATCCATTTAGTCATATAGAATCTCTATGCAATGAACTTAGTGCTCTATTCATCAATATCTTTATTCATACTCACGTATCTTCATTTTTCCATTTTATAGCTATGCAGTCAGATGGCAGTTGTCAACCTGCATAAAATAGCATTCATCAACAAGAGCAAATGAAATACGCAGCCATGTGTGACTATATATTTGCTGGCTTTTGGCTTGCAGCATATTTCAGTATGTGTATTAAATTTGGTAATACAGAAAGGTCTCTTTTTAAAATTGAATACATTTTACTCCCTAAAATACAGCATGAGTGGTTTTCTAAAATCTAAGAATATGCAATAGATGTAGATGGATGTACACAGGAGGGTATGTAGTCATTATAGTAGTGGTGTAGTGGGTATAGCTGGGGACTCCTGGGATTGACCATCTTTTGCCACTGACTTTGAGACTTTGGACAGCTCACTGTGTTAATCGGTTACCCCTTCATTAAATAGGTATAATACAACCTCCCTGGGATGTGGTTAGGCTTGCTTAACTTTGAGATCTTCCATAAAAGATGCTATACTGTGTAAGTGTCCAGTCTGATCATCAGTATTCCACAGTAAGAAGGACAGACAAAAATCTGAGTATTAGAGGAATATGTGGAGTTTGTTTCCATTGGCTGCAATACAGCTATGTTGATGAATTCTATTTCCATATTGGTTACAAGGCTAGATTTGCTCAAAAATTAACAACAAATGGTGCGTGATGATTCAGTTCATGAGTAAAGCCTTTAAAAAACCGTGTCCACAGTAGGTTACAATTGAAATACATACACACTGTATGCTACAGTATACTGCATGTACATTGCCAGTATATTTTATAAGTGTTCCAAAATAATATATGTACATGTATAAATATGCAAGTTATCTCAGGTGAATCTCAGGTTACTGTGCTGTGTGTGTATTTTTAAAATTTAGTAATAATTCACACAATGTTAAGTTATTTAGACAATGCATAATGAACATCACTAGCCAATTATATATTTCAGTAGAATGCAGATATGATGTAAAGTAATATACAAGAAAGGTATACATATGGTATATAGTGCATGCTTTTTTCATATAATGTATATATTTTAATCCCATATATGCTTTTGTACATTGTGCATAACCGTATTACGTAGATATTTTCATGCACATGAACTATATCTCCAATAGCTGGTAAGAAAACATGCTTTTTAAGTATCTCTGCTGGAATGTAGCTGACTTTGCAAGCCCCATATAAATGTAGAGTATAGTGCAACTTCAGCTATACCATCAATATTAAAGTTTAAAATAAACTACTTTGACCACAGGAAGTGACCAGACAGCAACAGAGGTCAAAAGTGACAAACTACCATCAATCAATGACTTGGACAGCATTTTTGGTCCAGTATTATCCCCCAAGTCTATTGCTGTTAATGCAGAAGATAAGTGGGTCAATTTTTCTGATCAGTCCCCGGAAAACGTAACAGCAGAGTTGACTTCAAGGGAAAAAGTGGTGTCCCCACCTGTGGCATCAGAAATCCCAGCTGAATCTCCAGCTGTTGAAACCTCCCGCAATGTTCCATCACCTCTCAATTTAGAAGAGGTTCAGAAGAAAATTTCTGAGCAAACCCACGTTAAAGATGATAACTTAGAATCAACAGCATCTCCTAAAGATTTTGGGTTGGGACAAAGAGCTACACCACCTCCCCCTCCACCACCTACCTACAGAACAGTGGTGTCATCACCGGGACCCAGCCCTATCAGTGGCACAGGAAGCACCAGTGGTATGTCTTATAGCTTGAGTGTGCTTCAGTGTGCCCATGAATGCCTTTTTGCTGCAGTGTGAACACAACCTTTTAGCTGCTCTTAGCTGGCTTTTAAGCATCAGTCATTCCCCTTTGTTTGATTGTACTGTGCCCCCAGTGGCGTATTCTTTTCATATAATGCTCTTGTGGTCCAAGTCGAGCTTGTACCGTAGATATCATGTTTCCTTTTACCCTGTCATTGTTGAATGTCTGACATGAGAGGGGGAGTTGTGACTCCGCAAATCAGACTCCAAGGTGTAAATCTAGACAGCTTTTCACCAAAGATCATGTTTATTGCCTTAAATAAGTGCACGTGCTCAACAGTTTGAACTTCTCTCCCAGATATCCACCTGTGATACATGAGTATTTGCAGAGCCCCAAACTGCTGACAGCCCCAGAATTTGGCACAGTTGCCAGCCTGCCATAATATCCTCCAGGAACTGCAAAATGAACAAAAATAGTGGAAAAACAGACAAATCTTTGCTGACTTTTCAGAAAACAAAACTGTCACTTTTAAGTAAAGCAGGAAATTCTTTGAATTCACTGTCTGTTCATATGAGACACTGACAGCATATGTGCAGCCAAGTCACCTTAAAGGCTAACAAAGCCAAATAAACAGAAGCCCTGCAGATATAAGTTGTGATGCAATAAATTCAGTATATCTCTACTTCACCATTCTGAGAATGTCCTTGAGAATCCTAGATAGTGCGAGGCTGAACTAGGCCTTGATAAATGGCTTTTTAAAGTAAACACTGTAGAGTAAAACATGGATTTGTTTGAAGTTTGCTGGTTGATTGGCTTCACCAGTTTAATTCTAAACTGGTATACGTCCATTAGGTCAAATTACCTTGTTGGAGGTTGGTTTTCCCAGTGTCTTTCATGTCGTTCTCAAGAGGGGTACAACTTGATCACCTTATTTTTAATGACTTAAAGGCTTGTCTACGTGGGGAAATTTACTGGCAGAACTATACTGGTATAAATATACTGCTGTAATTATACCAGTACCTGTCTCCACATGGACATAACACCATAAGCTAACCCAGCAAAAGGCACTCTTTTCTTGGAATAAGAATGTCCACATGGGAAGTTAAAGCAGTATAACTATAGAGGTATAATTATACCAGTGTAGTTCTGCTGATCAACTTCCCCATGTAGACAAGCCCTAAGCAAGATAGAAGTTATTGGTATTTGGAGAAAAAGAATCCCATGTTTTACACTGGGCACTGATGCTAGTGTTGAACATGTTGTTTTGAAATTCTTTGTTTGCATTAGTGCATTTCCCACTTAAAACAGATATTTTCTGATTACTTTAATTAGGCCATGGTTTTAATTGTATGTATAAGCATTTCTGTGGTATTCAGCAATGTAGTGTCTGAGGGCATGAAAAACTGGAGATCGCTCCTGAGTTAGATTTTGCATCCTTTTCACATTCTCATCTTCATGTGGCAGAATGTAACTCTCAATGAAATCCCCCAGGTGGGGAAGGGTGGGGTGGTTGTTGTTTTTTTTTAACTAATCCTGACTTCTGCCCTGGAGGTGAGCATTTCAGTGGTGGGTAAAGTGATTTTTCTGTGTTGGGTTTGTAAAGTGCTCTGTACTGCAAGGTACTGATCACACTTGATGTCTGTTGGAGTTGAGGGTGCTCCACACTTTGTGAGAGAGGGACCCTAGACACTGGTGATATTTTTGTTTAGCACCAGCTGTTTCCTGAGTTCTGTACAATGCACAGAAATACAGACGTTCCCTGCTCTGAAGTGTTTGCACTCTAAAAGCAGGCACACAGAAGATGTAGCACATTGGAAAATGTGGGGCTATCTCCTGTAATAATTATAAACCCCTTATAAACACTGCAGAATTGGATTTTTTTTTAGGATGGATTTCTATGAGGAGAGGGTGGTGGCTTGGGGGACTGGGATAAAGAGGATGTTCCACACATAGGGGGGGCAGCATGGAACATACTATGCAGATGGGAGTGAGAGAAACTTAAAACCATTGTCATTTAACAGTACCCAGTGATGACCATACTACTATGGGGTAAGGTGGAATTCTGAACATGCTGTATATATGTTCATTAAACAATGTCTTCCTTAATTTTGCTGTGTTTTTGAAGATCCATCCTCTTTTCCCTGATAGCTGTGTGTTGGCTTTTGTGTGTGTGATTAACAGACCACTATTCTTGTAGCATGTGATCAGTCAGCATATGTCTGACCTCCTTGATAATGCTGATGTGGGAAGCCACCCTACAAGAATGTGGGATGCAGAATGCCTTGTGTGACTTTTAAAGGGCCAGCAATTGAGAAGATTACCATTGGTGGAGGGCAAGTTTGACAGTTTGGGTTTGTATAAGTCCCTTCCCTACTCATTTCAGCCACATCCTTGTGTTCTCCTGATCTGTGCTATAATAAGTACTTCTCCAAACTCTGAACAGGCCTTTCTCCCACTCCATTCCAAATCCTTTGGTGATATTCCTTTAGTTACCTGGTCTGCTAGGCTCTGACTAACTGGGCATTCAGGTTCCACTTGCTTTGGGATGTCCTCAGGTCAGAGCTGTCCCCGAATGTGTTGTCTTTCTATTCCTGGGAAGTCCTGGAAGCTGTGAGATTTGAATACAGCAGCAGGGGCTCTTGGCTCTGCTCAAACACCAAAATGGAGGCCTGTTGGGGGTCATAAGAGGAAAAGATGGAGAGGTCCTTGCCTCAGCCATCTAAACCTTTTAAAAAAAAAAAGGCGGGGAGGGGAGAGACGTGGGGGACAGGGATTTGGCTTCTGATCCTTATTTGAGGCGGATGATTGGGTTGGTTCTTTTTGTTCCAAATTAGTTGGCTAATGTCTAATTTTTAACCCTTTCAGTAGCCCATCGAAGAAACACACATATATGCTCACCCATGTCTGTTATGCATATCTATTTTTTAGTTTCTGCTTATGCTTTACTTTAAGTAGAGTGATGTTGGATATGTTCCAGAGCTATAAAATGGTTTGATGGCAGAACATTTTTTTAAAGGCAAAGAATTCTGTAGCTCTGCAGCTATAATTGGATTTTGCAGATGTGGGATTACATTCAGTTACATGTTGATTAGTGGAATTCTGCTGCATATACTTGGTGCAGAAAGTGGTGTAGAAGCGCAGTGGAATTCAAGGGATACTGAATGTTTCAAGAACAAATATCGTCCATTTTAAAATTCTTATATCTAGAACATTAACAATTGTTGCTTCTCTAACTACTTAAAACATTAATATGGATAAATACAAGTTATAATCCTGTCCCCTTAGAATTCCTGCAGTCCTGTTAGAATAATTCCCTTCTTGTAGGGCAATAAGTTTTTTATGGTCTGAAGTGGAAAATTTTCAAACACTGGTGCCTCAGGTTAGTCTCCTAAATCCAATTTTAGGCTCCTAAATAGAAGTGGCTTGATTTTCCAAAGTGCAGAAATTGGTGGCCAAGATTTTAAAAAAAGCAGAACCTAACTTTTGACCCAAGATTTTATGTATAATAGGGGCAAATTTTTGTTTCTATAAATTTCATTTTCAAACATCCATGTTTTTAAATTAATCAAATGTTAGATTCTTATGGCAAATGATTCTGTTTTAAATGGAAAAATGAAAAACAAAGCAGCCCATCCTAATATATAGTTAGAAAATTAGACAGTACAGTGCCAAACAGAATGTGCTTTCAAGTATTCTGTAAAACTCATTAACAACAGTCCTGGAAGACCCAATGTATGTATCCTTAATCTTAGGATTTTTCTACTTAGAGGTGTCGGTAAATCTTAGTTTAGGGGTTGAAGGAGTTTTAAAGATATTTTTTGCACAATACACTATAAAATGTACTGAACTTATCCTGGTATGTTAAATTTTCTTAGTTACATCAAAATAGTATGTCAAGTATTCTGTTAAGTACCCCATCTCATTCCTTTTTATTAAGTTGCAGCTAGTCGATCTTCACAGCAAGGTGACAGTGATCAATGACAAAATGAAACATTTGAGCTTCACAGTTAGCTACTTAAAATTTGTCTTTTATGGTAACTATATTTTTTTAAATAATTTTCTTAAATGGATTCTTTGGGGCTCCCCAGAGACCTTATAACATTCTGTGCTTTCCCCATTCTGGTCCTCACTCTTGCTTAATGATTGCCATCTTACAATAATAGGCAATGAAATTAAAATTAAAAGATTTGTGCAAGGTTTGTCCCCATCAAAACCACTTCTGCCAAGGACTTTTTTTGTTTTTTAAACCAGGTATTCATTCAGAGTCAGTTATCTTAAATGTCATCTTTGTTAACCTCAGCCTCTATATCAGCGGCATAACCAGGATTTGATAGAGCCTCACTGTAATTTTGTAACAAAGATCAAAAAGGAACAAATCCGAAGTAAAACCTGAATATATCATGTATTCAGCATCAAGAATTAAGCCCAATCTTACAAACCATTATGGTCACCATAGTGCCTACTGCAGTTATTTCAATCCCCTCCATACTACTGTGCTTACACTGAGAAAAACTGAGAGAAATTCAATCTCTCCAGCTATAAAATAGGATAAATTCTTCCCAGTCAGTTATGTCCTGGCCACCATACTAGCAAATAATGCTGGCTGAAAACATTTTTTTTAAAGCTGTTTCGTAGCATGGACCTTCCCCCTCCCACCCACCCACCCTCTCAGTGGTTTGCACAGTGCTATTGTTTTAAATGTTCAGTGAATTCTAAGAAAATGTCTCTCTCTCCTGTCTTGCATTTACAGTCTTTCATGTAAATCCATGAAGACGTCTGAAATAACAAATGTCTTACACCAATGAATATGCTTGAGAAAAGCAGGCCCCCACTGCACGTACATATGAAAATTGTCTCCTTACTACAAGAAATATATTAGTAAATGTCAATTACTAAAAGTTTTTTCCCCTCATCCAAAAAACATGTGAATGTATCAACATTTTGAATTTAAAACATTCAGAGGTAGAGAAGAGAGACTTGCATACATATAACCAGAAGAGAAATCAGGGACTAAGGGAAGGGATTGTGAAAGTTAAACTGAAAAATATTGTTACGATATCAGTAGTTGCCTCTCATAGTAACTCACTGCAATAAACAGAAGTACAAAGTAACCACTTGCTCCCAAACTGTCAGCATGTAATTTATAGACATGATACTGGTGTTCAAGAGAGAAGATTTAAAACTTCTGATACTTCAAATATAAAAATAAAATTTTTCACCATGGAGCAAATTTTAGCCTCTGATTTTGTGTTCAGAAAATCACACCAACAAAGTCTGTATTACCATGTGCACGTGCAAATTTAGAGCTTGGTATGAAGTCAGCTCAAACCAGAACTTTCATACTGTGATTCCACAGCAGATCATTGAGTTTTGGGTTTTACTATGGCCTTCTTGGTTATCAGCTGTAACTTACTCTTCCACACTGTCACGTTTATAGATTGACTTGCAATGCGGTAGCTATGAATGTGAGTTGGAAGCTGGATTAGTGTTTGTTTGCTTGATAGCACGCAGTACGCTGTGGGGAGTTTGGTGTTGAGAGAGCAGCTTGAGTTTAATCTTGTATTTATAGTCTGTGTTTATTTCAGGTTCTTCATCTCCGGCTCGTCCAGCGACTCCACTGGCTGCCTGCAGCAGCACCACGCCACCGCCTCCTCCACCTCGGCCCCCATCTCGGCCAAAACTGCCTCCAGGGAAGCCTGGAGTTGGCGATGTGGTATGTTCACCCTTTCCATAACCACTAATGAGAGAGGGAATTCAAAATGAATCAGGAATTTCATGTTTGTTTCCAGTCTGATAAAACAAGTTAATAGAACTGAGCAAGTAATTCATAGCAAATAAATGAGTCTGCAAATGGTCCCTGACCAGTTCAGTTTTCTATAATTTATTCATCATTGGAAATTACACATGGGAGAATTTCAGTGAATGATTCTCGATTTGCTGATGGCTTGCTAACAGTTCACTGTGAGTATTCAGTATGTGCAGTATGAGCTGCTTGGTAGTTTTGATTGGACAGGGTAGACTGTCTGTTCCCTGATTTGGATACACCCTAACTCTTAGAATCAGGATTTTTGGTGCAAATACTCATGTTTATGAATTCAAGATTCACTTTCCTAACACGTTTTCTGACATTGCCTTAAAATGTGCTATTTGTTGAAACATTCCTGCCACTAAATTTGTTCACTAGAATGTTTGCAGAAAGGCAACACAAAAGGGACACCAGTGCAGCCAAAGTGAATTATTTTTGAGTTAATAATTTTTTTTCAGCTAGTTATTCAGTCCTACAGGTTAAAAACCAAGAGTATCCTGCAGTAAAGTGTAGATTGTCTTTAAATGATGGAAGATGGCACACTCACGCACATGTTTTACACATCCTAAAACTTTCATTCAATTGAAAATCCTCAGAAATGATCATGTGATTATAATAGGTTGCTGCTCTTGTGCCAACAGAATTAGCAAGTATTCTAGTTTGCATGGGACTTAGTATCATTCTTACAGTATTTTGCTTAAGTGTCTTGTCATAGGAACACTGGGAAATCCTGATTGGCTGGTGAGGAGGGGAAAGATGTGTTCTAGTCTTGGTGGTATATCACACTACAATAATTATCCTGTGTCCCCATTTTTAAATGCTGTATAAATAAGAACAAAATGTATCATTAAAATGGTATGATTTGTAATGCTGTAAAATATTGCTACAAACCTTCTCTATATTAATGCATTGTGGAATTAAGGACCATTCCTGAAAGCACATTGCATGTAGAACTCTCAGTACTGTTTAGAACTCTACTAGCCAGCAAGAGTTTGGCCTGCAGAAGGATTGCAGAATCATGCCCTGAAAAAATAATTTTCTTTCTTTGGATGTATACGTATATCTTTTCATCACAGTGGGTTGCTCCACTAGGACCTAATGCACACTTACTGCTTCAAGTGATTTATCACAAGGTTTAATGTGTGTGAATCCAGCCACAAGTGGCAACTCATTAAATATTTACTTTGTGTGGTATTTACCCATAACATACCATCCGTCCTGCATTTTCTAGTCTTAAATTGCCATCTCGTAGTTACATGGTGTTGCGGGGTCTAAAGCAAACACTGGGCCTTCCATGTCTAGAATTCTCCCGTCTCTCTCCTGCTTGTTTTAAAATTTTATACCACTGCCAATTTTTTGAAAATTGTAAAAATACTTTGTGGCCCAAGAGGAGAAAACAAACTTAGACTTGCAAGACAGAATTTTTCATCGATTTTCCTAGGCCCTATCTTCTTTAAAGCCTCATTTGTATTAAAGGTGTGAGACCCATTAAGATCCACATTATTTACTGTGGGTGAAGAAGGTATTAAGATTACTGGTATATAAAAGCCTTATGTCTGTGTTCAAAGGCATCTGTTTATATTTGGTGTAAATGTTACAGTATGTATATTTTTAATCTTGCGTTATTTTGTGTTTTTCTACAGTCCAGGCCTTTTAGCCCTCCTATTCACTCATCCAGTCCTCCTCCGGTAGCACCTTTAGCCCGTGCTGAAAGTACTTCTTCCATATCATCCACCAATTCCTTGAGTGCAGCCACTACTCCCACAGTTGGTAAAAACAACAGGTTTCTTTTGTAATCTTTTTTAGAGTTGAATGGCTTTTTTAAAAAATTGAGTTTCTGAAACCCTCTACTTTGTTGTATCATTTTCTAAATTTTTGCTTTCATGTTCATGTTCTTTTAAATCAGTTTTAAGTGAAAGAAATATGAACTATATATAAACTATAAACTATTACCCAGCCTATACAGGAGGTTTCTTATTCTGTTGGATATAAAAGTGTGTTAAGAGTATGGGTATTTGGTAAAAGTAAAAGATATCCCCAATGAGGTATGGTGTTAGTTTTAATTGATATCTGTAAACTTAGTCAAAAGAAGAATGGGAACATTTTTCTTTTCTTTTTTGGCAGGAGGCGGGTTGGGGGAGCCAAGATTTGAAATTGGATGATGGCATCCTGGAAACCATTACTCCTAAACCATGTCGAGTTTTCAATCTGATAGTTGCCTTTAAAGTGGTAGATAGCAAAACCTTGGGGTCTTGCAAAAGCTTTAGAACTTTTCAAAACAACTGGGGTTTCTGATACATCTTAGAACTTGGAAAAAATGGTGCAGTTTCCTTCTAGAGGAAACTAAAACACTCTTTTAAAAACGTGATTCACTTGCTAAGTAGATTAGGTAACACTTTCTGTAGTGTGAAAAAATAAATACAAAAAATACTGTAAGGCTGACAAGCTCCTAGCTTTGGATGCTTTTGAGTCATGGCTTTCTCCCTCTGGGGCTCCTCCCTCCTCTTTCTTGGTACAAGAAACTCTTTTATTCTCTCTGTCTCTGCGTCTTTCTCATTTACGAGGTTTTTTCTCCATTTCCTCATATGGACTCTTATCTGTTGCAGACCCAGGTCAATTTTTTCTCCTCTCTCTCTCTCTCTCTCATATTCCCTCTGTCTTCATCAGGACACCCCTCTCTCGCTTCTGTAGATCTTCAATCCCTCCTCTGTTCCAGGTGTTCTCCTCATTTTCCATTGTTTTTGCCCCTTATCTCTGTCCCACTGTCATCGCCACCATCTGACTGAACTATGTCTTGCCAGTTCTCCTATTGCTTGCTGCTTACATTCTCCATTTTCTTTCAGGACCATTTTCAGTTCCGTTACTATATGGGATTTGCTTCATGGGGAAACGGGACTTGCACTGCCACTGAAATTGTTTTTCCTGGTTAGTCTGAAATAAACAGTGTAGCTCTTTCCCCATGGAAGCCAATTTGCTATTGTTGAATGTTCAAACCCAGGACATCTGAAAATCAAAATGAATTAACTCAAGTGTGTGTGTTGTCCCCACTTTGCTATTGAATGGCGTTACTTTTGGAGAGCCTTGAAGTATAGTATTAACAACAGGCTTTGTTCCTAGGCTTTATTCCCAATACAAAGAGAGGATTTTAGAAATTGTTTTTGTTTGTTTGAAAATGGAGGTGGTTTGAGCTGAACCCTAGATTCAACCTTTCTTCTCAAACATGGAGAAAGTCTGGATCTGAATGTTTGCAGTTTGCATTTGTCTCTGGCTAAAACCCAAGGGCATTTTCATTTCTTTATTTATTGTTTGCTGTAGCTTTGATTTATTATGTCTCCATTCTACCATTTTTTTCACTTTCCACTAGCCTTCTTTACGTTTGTATCCTCTGTTCCCACTTCCTGGTGGTCGCCATTACAGCAGTAGCATGTCCCTGAAATAAATGTATTTCAATCAGTCAGCGTATAATTTATTAAATCCAAATTAGGATGTATTTTCCTCTAATGCACAGAGCAAGGATCCATGCTCTGTATGTACTAAATGTCATGAGGACTAAATGGCAAAAAATGTGTGATTTGTAATTCTCATATAGCATCTCTGAAATTGGTATTCATTAACATAGGTTTTCATTTAATATTTGGATCCTTATCAGTGAGCACACTTTTAAAATAGAATAGCAGATCGCATAAAGAAAGCAAGGGTAAATAAAGAGCAAGCTGATTTGTGTTTCAGATATGCTATGAAAAGTTTGAATGAAATTTAGATGAGTCTCCGGGCAGGTCAAACTGTTGAGATAAATATGCCATGTTTTGCAAACACTTCAGCATTCATGTTCTCACTAGATTGAACAATCTTTTCCAATGTAAGAAAAATAAAAATGCTTCCCCTCAGTAATCATGTTGAATTCCGTTCTACCTATTTAATTTCCTGGACATATATACTTTGTCAGTGGAAGGAAAATCTCTTCTTCTCTCATATATGATTTTCATTCCATTCCTTCAGTCGGTATTGAATGTACCAGGAGGAGAACACAGGACAATGTTGCAAAAATACTTCCTTTAAGGTTCTAGCACAAAAAAGCAGCTACTGGTATTTAATTACCCTTTTCATTGTTGGAGTGTACTTTTCGGGGATGAAAGCAATACTAGTTGAGGTGAAGGTTACAGCTTTGAGCATCAGAATCAAGGTTATTGGGGTATAACTTTGGTATGAGTTAATTACTCTGAGTGATAGGTGAACTGCAAAAGGTTCAGAGGTTTGATCAGAGCAGCATCCAAAAATGAGATGCTTATTATAACCATCACTGAACTATCTAAACTTCTTTTGTTTAAAAATCAGGTTGTTAATCTCACAAGAAATAAGTAGCTTTTGTCTGAATAAGGGGTTTAGAATCTGATCTTCCTAATTATACTGAGATAGTTTCCACATCAAGATAATAAATTAATTTTTTCTTGTGCACTAGGAGCACACAGTACAATTACCATAAAAATAAGAGAGCCTGCACAACTGCATATCACAAGATCTATGGAATGTTCTGTTGGGTGCCATCTTGGATTTGTTCCTTCAGGAAATTAATCCCCATGGCTGCTGCTTAAGCTTTTGAAGTGTTGGGTTTTTTCAGTTTTAGTAGATGTAGGCAATGCTTCCAATAAACAATATTTAAATTGCTTTGAAGATGCACCCTTCTAAAAGCTGCCTAAGTGACCCTAGGCACTGACACTTCACCTGGAGCAAATTGAAAATTGTGGCTCCTAGATTGCCCCACAAAATTCCACTCAGTCCTGTAGGATTTCAACACTTTTGAAGAGGTAACGGTGCAGGGAAGCTGCTTCCTTTTTGGTAAAGCAAGTGCAGAAGGAACAGTTCTGTCAGGACTCTTCCCTCCCCTGTCCCTCCCATTTTTTCTAATGGCCCCTGTGTATGTTGGATCTCTAATTTGAAAGAAGTAATATTTTTGCATGAGGGAGTATACGTACTAGAAAGGGCAAGTCTAATTCCTTCATCAGGGGCTCACTCAGCCAGTCACAGTATATCTCTACATACCATGGCATCATTACAGGGTTCCTATTTTAACACAGATGAGTTGTTACTGAATAAATTCTTCAATGCACTAGCCACACACAGGCTTTTCTTTAGCATCAAGAATGAATGTCTTCTCCCTTCATCTTTTTAGTAAACAAGTGTATTTATTGTAGTCGTTGACAGGACAGCCATGCACTCCATTTCACGTTCTAGTTCCTCTGTGTCCATATGAACCCTCTTCCTGAGTAGTGCTGGAGTGTGGGAGCATTCCTCAAATATATCTTTGTTTTGCTGAAGTCCTTCTTCATTTGTCCCGTGTCACAAGCCACGTGGGAGTGCTTATTGCTTTCTCCCAGAAGCAGAGTGGTTCTGAGGGGTGATTTGAGATTCTGTTCATTTAAAATCAAAATGTATCCTTGTCATGTTACCTGGAAGTGTGCACAGATGTTAGCAGAGAAGGCAGAGGTAGGAGGTTTCTTGAGAGGTATCAGCAGTTCAGAAGCATGGCTAAACCTTTCATGGATTAGTGTGTTGTCATTTTATATAAAGGTGATTCAAGTGCCACTCAGAAAACAACTGCAACCCACCCCAGGATTCCCCAGTGTAATAGAAAGGTTAATGTGTGACACTCTCTATGGCAGCTGAATATGCCATTGACTGCTTCCATTTTGACCGAATGTTGATTTTTTTTTTGCTACAAATTAATAGGGACAGAGGCAGTGGGTAGCAACTATGCTAAAGCAAATAAAGTTGTGTGTTTTTGCTGCCAAAAGAGTGTTGAATAAGAACATAAGAATGGCCATACTGGGTCATATGAATGGTCCATCTAGGCCAGGATCCTGTCTTCCGATAGTGGACACTGTCGGATGCTTCAGAGGGAATGAGCAGAGCAACTATCAAGTGATCGTCCAGTCCCAGCTTGTGGCAGTCAGAGGTTTAGGGATGTCCAGAGCATAAGCTTGCATCCCTAACCATCTTGGCTAATAGCCATTGATGGACCTATCCTCCATGAACTTATCTAATTATTGTTGTTTTTTAGCCCAGTTTTACTTTTGGCCTTCACAACTTCCCCTGGCAATGAGTTCCACAGATTGACTGTGTATTGTGTGAAGTAGTACTTCCTTATAAGCTGCAGCAGAGAGGCAAGCAAACAGTGGTTGGCTTAAGGCAGCTATGTGTCATCAAGAGAAAAGAGCAGTAGTTGTGGAACATTCATAGCTCAGAGCCTACATTAGCAGTGACTCATAGTCAAAGCTACATCTGGCCACTCCTGAACTAGCCTCTTAGAAGGGGATCTCTGTACTTACATTTGACAACCCCACAGGTTTACCTTGTGGCACAATAAGTGGTCTTGTCTTTTTTTTTTTTTTTGGAAAATTTTTAAGAGTATTGGACTTGCATTGTGTTGAGGCACAGATGTACTGGCTTCTCTTTAGACTCATATAGCCATAAAAAAGATATTCCCTGTCCATTTGTCCGTACACTTGAAATACGTATCTGTGCAAGTCCAAATATAGTAATGAACAGAGCTTTTAACTATCTCCACTATGCTGTTAGAGATTTGTTTCAGAGTTGCAAAGATTATACCATTTGATAGACCTTATCCAAAAGAATATTGAACAGAATGATTTTATTTATTTGTCTCTTCTTGTGATTTGGTTTTCTTTCTTTGTTGTTGCTTGTGCAGTTTGAATAACACATTGTAGAAAGAAAAAGACTCCATCGTTTTTATTTCACTGACCTTTACATTATTTTTATCATTTAAGTTCTTGTGTTTTGTTGATATAGTGCACTGCTTGATTTCATTTGGGATTTGTGTTTTCATTCTTTTGTCTTTTACGTTTCTTTTGCTCATGGTATCAGAAGATGATGCTTTTATTGACAAACTGCCCACGTTTGAAAGGCGCTGTGAAACGCCTGCAGGTACTGTATTAACAGAGTGGTTTCAAGAAATCTGGATTAAAACTCCAAGCCATTGTCTCATAAGAATGCCTATAAAACTTACGGACATGCTTTCTCCTCAACCACCATGAATGTCCAGTGCATATGACATACATATGTTTAAAAATGGAACTCGGGCCACAAAAAATAGCAGCACATTGCATGACAGTTTCTCAGAGACCAAAAAGATTGAGAGAGGTGATATGCTACTGTTTTGTGAATTTAAGTTGAAGGAATAAATTTAACTGCTCAAAAATACATTTTTTAATTATTTCAACAATACATAATATCTATAATGTTTGTTCTCCGGTACTTTCAAGGTGGTGTGAGTCAGGTAAACTGGTAATTCTGGTGGGAAGGGGAAAAAATTCAATTAGAACTTTCTATTCCAGGTGCTCGACCTGGAATTTTATGGCCTAAAATACAATTTAAAAAAATACATACATTTTACGAAAACATATTTTTAACACCAACAGACAATGCAAAGTACAGCATCCTGCCCAATACAGTTTGCTAATCCTATTTAAGCACCATAGAGACACCACTGGAGATGAAGAGGATAATGCAAGTGACCAAGTTTGTCAAAACAAGTGCAGTTAAATATACTAACCCAGCCTGCATGAACAGGAAGCCTCTTCTACTCCACGCATAGGCAACTACTATCAAGCTGGCAAAAACACCCCTCCATCTAGTCTTCCATAGCTTGCTTTTTGCTTTCTGTTTTCTAAACCAAAAAACAGAGTTTTAAACACCATCCCCCTTTTCCTTGCACGTTAACGGCTTGCAGTGCCTCTTCCCTCCCCCATAGTGAGATAAGTTACCTGCTCTGTGACTCACACTGTGTCCTTCTCTCTCCCTCTCCTTAACCTTTCCCATCCCGCTTCAACTCCTGGCCATACAGAGAATGAACAGCCTTCCCTCGTTTGGTTTGACAGAGGAAAGTTTTATTTGACTTTTGAAGGTAAGTAGTACATAGCATACCAGCTTGTAACTTACTCCCCTTTGCTCTTACTATTTAAGTCCTACGGTTTCCTTCAAAAGTTCCCTTCTAACTTTTTGTATGAAAATGCTATGGCTACTTAGATGACATCATATCACAAGTTCAACAAGGATCATTTAAATTTGATTTGTACATTTGTCTCCCTTCAATTACTTTTTTTAAAGGACAAAAAGAGACTATTCTTGTGTAAATCATGAATATATTCTACAGAACAAAATCACTTCTATTGCCAAGGAACTTGACTCTGTCAACAAGGGCTTCTTTTTACACTCTTCTGCAAACCACTTGGTACACTAAATGTATCGCTACACAATGTGATGACTGAAACCTAAATTACTCTTTTATTTTCTATTGGCCTTTACCCTCTTCTGGGTGATTTAACTAGTATTCGCACACTGCCCGTTTTAAACTTCCTAGAAAACCTGTGACATACTTAAGGTATATTGGAGAGTAATGTGAAAATAACATCTATATGATTATCTTGAGGGTACTACTCGTCATTTTGTAAAAGTAGGAAATCAGGAAATGTGCCCTACAGCTGCTGTACAAAATTCATCAGCATCTGCATAATCCCAGCATTGTATCTAATTAATTAATTTTCAGTCAGTCTATAAAATTGAGTTATCCTTCTGAATTAGAGAGCTGTCCAATTAGTCTGTTCACTTTGAATTACAAGTAACCTTTACCAACTCTTGTATTATAGTTGAGTCTGTAAAATCTGTCCCTTATAAATTTTGGTTTTCAGAGATTTATTTAAGTCAATTTTAAAAACTCACTTGAGGCTAAAAATGCAATCATCTATCCTGGGAACAAATTAAAACACAATCTGTTTGGCCTTTAAGTTTTAAGTGTGTGCAAAAGAAAAAAAGTCCACTTGACTGGTCTGGGTGGTTTACGTGAGTTTATTGCTAATAAGAATTACCAGGTTGACAGCACCGGAGACTGAAGTCGTCTGTGTATAAAGAGAATAGGCACCATGGACAAAAGGAGTGCAAGCTGCCCCTCCCCACTAAGGACCTCAAGCTTGATCTGGGGGGGGACTAACTTTAAAAAGTGAAACAGTAATTGAGTCTCTATGCCCATTCAGCATTTAGTCTGCCATTAGAGATGACTATATGTGGTGACAAATGTGATGGTGGCTTAGTGAATTGGGCACCTGTCTAATAGAGATTGGACTGAGACCATCAATTTTCCCATAGGCAGCAGATTAGCCATCAAATGGTGGTAACCGTAGGACACTAGCAACTTAACCAGCTGGTGTATCTATGGCTCATTTGAATAGAACAGGAGTGAGTAATCCTCTGAGCCATCCAGTTCCTCTGCTTTTTGATATTTAAAAAGTTTTGGCTGAGTTATTAACATTGGAAAATCAGCTACTGCTTACACATCATGCCTGTTTTACAATAAGCCTTATTGTAAAACCTGTACTACAAGTCTTATGGTCTATTTGCCTACTTGATGAGGGCAGTCTTAGTGCTTTTAAATGATGCTGCAGAGATGTGAAGCTTATGTTGTGGTGTTTAGGGAAGTATATAGATTATATTTTAACATTAGTTCTTGAGCTAGAATGTCGGTCAGGGAGATGGGCACGGAGGGATAAAATCCGATTCCTAACTTATGGCAAGCTTCTCAACATTTCCAGGGTTTTAAAATACAATTTATATAGTACTTATACACAGTGTTTGGGAGGAGTCATAGTCCTCTCTCAGCATTTTAGAGGTGGACATATTCTAGCCCGGACTGAGTCCAGTTCAGGAGCTCTAAGGTAGGCAAAGGGTGGTAGGCAAACAATGGACAGTGCTTCTATAACCTCAGTAAGTCAATTTGATTTTAACTAAAACTAGGAGTATCATTCTTACAATCTTTTCATCTGAACATCAATTGGAAGCTGCCAAGGTTAAACTCCCTTCAGGTTTACAAAATCCGTGATGGAATTATTTCTTTCCTTCTGGTCATTGACTTTATCCCAATGGTTGTCGTATCAGTGGGTCTGTGAGATCTGGCATCTTATTCTATAGTTGTTTCCAAGTGTTTGGATTAGAAGACACCCAGAGTGAAGATGTGCCAAGTCTTGTTTCTTAAATTAGAATCCTCAAAAAAAAGGATAATGAGGAGGCAAATCATAGGAGTCTCATCACCGTCTTGCTATCTGAAGTCTTCTATGATTGTGCTTATGTTCACTGAAGCTCTTTTTCCCGCTGCTTCTTTGGATGCATTAATTCTTGAACAGATCTTTTCACCATCAAGGAGCCAGGTGTTTTGGGGGACTTACTACTTTTTTTGTTTGTAGATAACTGATTCCTCTGAATCAGAGCCAAAAAGCATTCTCTTTCTTTTCCCTCTAGTAAAAGTTCCCCAAACAGAAAACTCTTTGGCTTCTGTATGGACTATTTCAGGTTTCTTCTGTAGTAACTCTACTATGGGTGAACAATCCTAGAATCTGCTTTCATCACTCAGCATTTAGATTGTTGCACACATCAGCTGGCTTTCAGCATCTTCTATGATTAAAGTTATAGCTGCCAAGAATTTCCTTTGAGCTGCTAATATCTTGAATAATCTGACGTGGCTCAACTGAGGTAAAGTGCCCACATTTCATCTCCTACCAGATATTTTTGTAAGGCTTCATTTAATGAAGTTGTTGCCAATATAATGCCGAACTGGTTCTGAAACAAGGTGGGTGTCTTGGAACAGAGAGTATTCAAGAAGGTGGGCCGGGGTTACTCTCTTGGCTAAGATCTAGTGCAGTACACAATCACTAGACCACTGGTAAAAATTCGGGCAGACTGATTATTAAATATTTGTAGCGGATCATCCCTAAATGGTACAGAAAAAGGTTTTTGATAATTTTGATCTCTTAGTCTTGATGTTTAGTGACATTCTTACTCTAGGCAACAGTTCTGTACCGGGAAAGGGAATGGACACAATAGCCTGATGGAACTTTCCTGGTTGGTTTCTATGATAAAACAGTTACTCTCTTCTCTTATATGAAGACTGATTCTAAGGTGTATATTCTACCATTGTCATTATTTATTTAATCCCTATTAGTTCATTTCCCCCCACTCTCATTCTTGATCTTCAGTATTACAACAATTTTTATAATCTGATTTTTGTGTGCTTTCTTATAATATTCCATCGTACTTTAACTTGTAAAAATTCATTGAAAGAAAAACATAAAATTGTAAAAACAAAGAATATTATTGCTGTCACAAAACACTACATATGTGGATCAATGTAATCTCCTAATTGGTTTATGGAGACCACATAATCTGTTTTTTCCCCCAATAGTACAAAAGCAAGGGGATAGCCAGTGAAATGGAAAGGTTATGCATTTAAACCTGCATTTACACAAATCTAAAGCCAGAGTGTTAAAACCACCACTAACTGACAGGGTTTAGGAAGAAATTTCCCTACGGGCAGGTTATTTCATAATTGTTCATAACGGGAGTATCTGGCATCTTCTTTCAAAGCATTTGGTATTGGCTGTTGTTGGAGACAGGATACCAGGCTAGGTGTACTACAGTGATGCAGTTCCTTTTTCCTACGTTAGAGAGGGAAGAAGAAAATCCTGTACATAGCTCCCCCTTTGGATAGACATGTCTGCAGATGCAAGAGAATTACATATTCCTTCAAAAGTTAATTGTTTCTAACATTCATCAAATTGGCTCAGTAATCCCCAGATTAGAATAAAATACATGACTCAGCCAAGTATCTTGGGCCATTTCATCTGGAGATAATAGATCGGCCATCATAGAGACAGAGAACATGCAGGCTTGAAGATTCACATTTTGAAGAGCATGGCAGAGTTCTATTGGATCAAAAGTTAAGCACTGCTACCAATCCTATACACACGCAACCATTGTTATTCAGGTAGCTGTTCTGACCAGTTAACAGTTTGCTAAATATCAGCTGCCTCTGTTCAGAATAGTCAGATCATGTTTACTGAGAGAACTTGCCCTCTTTTCATCGACAAAACTAGATGTGGCCCGGTCATAGAGCTGGATTTCGGGGGGACTCATGTCTGGAAGAGACAATTGGGATTTCTTCTGTGGAGTGCTTTGGCAGATTTCCTCACCTTGGTTCTGAATGGGCGGAGGGGAACCATAGTCTGTGGCCTGTGAGGTGGACCTATACTCATTGTGGCTTGTGAAAGCAAGTGAGGTATTGGGTCCACTGACGTTAAACAGAGTTGGCTTGCTCAATCTGTGTGAGACAGACATGTGCTTTGGTTCCCCAGATATCCTCAGAAGGCCTTCAGCATGTAGGCCCTATGATTCTGCTCTGTCTCCTGGACTCTTACTCATTTTCCTATCAGCAATCCTCTTCCTTAAAGAAAGGGTGTTGGTGGATGGATGGAGGGGCTTTGTAGATATGATGGTACTACCTTAGGCAGTATTGTATTTTTCCAGAGGTTCTCTGCTGGTTGTCAATAGGAAAACCATGTACACATGGTATACCCATCCCCCAGTCCTTGATTCACTCCCTCTCAAACTAGTAGGGTGGCAATGTCTCAGCGACAGCTGACCCACCCTTGTTCACCCCACCCCCATTCTACATGCAGATCCCCACTGGGTAATCTGGACCTTTTTGTATATCTTGATGAGTACCTGCTGGAAAAGTGGTGAGACAATAATATAGGTAGTTTGAAATTAATACAATTGAATAAAGCAATTGCACTTCCACACATTACAGCTCTAATGTTGCAATATTCCTTTATCTATCCCTAAGTTTTGGATTCCAGATTTATTTTTGGATTTGACCTATGAGTTGTTCTATAATGGTATAAAAGGAGATCTATAGCATTTGGAATTTGTTAGCACTATTAACTCAGTGAATGATACACCAGAAAAATGGATTTCTTGCTAAAGATGAAGTCAGCTGCTGAAGATTTGGGAATCAGGTGCTATATGAAAGGGTTCTGCATGATTTTGTTCTGATGTTATGCCATCTCCATGTTTGTTCAA